AGTGGCGCCTCTGATGTTCTCCTTCTCCGACCAGGAAGGATCGCCGGCCCTGGAGTTGCGACTGGGAAGAGCCTTCGGCTTGAATAATACGGTAAGTTATCAGTAGATAACTATTTCTTTTAATTAAAAAAAATAGAGTATAGAAGCCACAGAACTTGATACACTTATGTATATTGCGATCTTTGGTTAAGCATCCTTAGTTGAACTTTTCTCTTGCGCTTTGTTAATAGCCACTCTTCCTAAACCTTCTTTCAGTGGTGCAAAAGTTTCAGTACGCACAAGGACCTAACTCACCGGGAACTGCGGGCGGAGAACACCAAGGGAAGTTATGCGATCGGAATCAGCGTGAGGCGTGGAAGGGGTCTGTATGCCAGTACCACTTTTGTGACACTCTCTCCCAGATTTCACCTGCACAACCGAAGTGGTTACCGACTCGAGTTTATGCAACTGTGCGACATTGTCAACTATGTAAGTAACTTTTTACTTTACTCTGATAAAAAATAAGATACTTAAATTTAAGATTCAAGAGATACCTGGTTTAATCCTAACAATTCTTGATTTCATCTCGAAAAAAAAAACATAAAATGTATAAATTCAACTTATAATTACATTTCAGGATCGACCGGACCCGCGTAAGATCATTTCAGCGCCGATCGATTGCAACTTCGCCTTCCACTGGCCCAACTGGGATCAGGAGCAGTTCATTTGCGTGCGCATTCCGGATGTGGAGTGCTGCTGCTGGTCGAAGGGAATACCCATTAATGATGATGTACAAAGTCTGTACATCAATGTGCGCAACGAGTGGGGTGATATGTTCTTTCTGAGACTGGAAATCATCTCCAAGGATGCCACATTTATCCTCCTGTTTACCGACGCTCGTACTCTACCACCACCGATTCGAATTGATAATTGCTCGGAGGTAGTCATCAATTTCTCGCAGCTGCGTTCCAAGCCAGTTTGGATTACGCCAGTTCGTCCGCAATCGTCCTTGTCTTACGTCTTGGACGATCCTTTGGGACTGCAGGCACTGCTGATGGAGGCGCCGGGTGGCAACATGATCGAGTTTCCCATCAACAATGTGAACAACATAAAGAAGACGCTGACGTACACCAACTTCATTTACATAGCATTTCACGGGACATTCGAGCGATCGACCAGTGATGAGGAGAGCAGCCCACACAGGCATTTGGTGTTGGGAGTTCGCGGCCGGAAAGTGGTGATAATGGAAAAGAATTCGGGGGATCGTTCCCAGTTGTGGCTCATGAATTCGAACGGTCAGCTTGAGCACGAGGGATCCACGCCACCGATTCAATCGAACGATGCCAATGCAGTGCGTCTGGTACTGGATCTGGAGAAGCCCCCGAATCCCATGGAGTTTACAACTTTGGTGGTTCGAACGCCCAACAAGCAGAGGGTTACCACCCAGACTTGGAGGTTTGAGAACGGCCGGCTTATGTGTCATGCTAATATGTGTGTTCAGGTAAGCAGAATTCTATATCCCTGAAGTATCAAATGTCATCAATGGGTCACTGCCATCAATGTTTCATCTGTCATTCCAAGACCGACTCTTTCCCTCCCTCATATGAATAATGCTGATGAAATGTACATGAAAAAGCTATCAAGTGTTGAAGAATAAGTATGAATAGTTGATGAATACTTGATAACTTGTTGATGCTAGGTGATGAATTGATAAAACAGTGATTAATTATGATGATTCATTGATAAATATGTGATGAATTATTGATGATTTGATTTTAAATCTACAACATTCCAGTCCCGATATGAGGTTGGCCTGAGGCCCAACTGTGAAGCGTATGTGGGCCGCACGGAGAATAATTCAAGCAATCACCAATCCATACCGATTGGCCAACACATTGTGGCACAAAAGCTGAGGCCTGGCTCCGGCCAATTGGAACTGTCGACGAGAATGGATGGCCCCATTTCCACAATAGAAATATGTGATATTAAAATTAAACAAAATTCAGTATTCCTCACTCCCGATTTACTCTGGATGCACGCTTCCCTCAACAATAGACAAATTACGGACAAGGGGAAGATATCGATCACGCATGAGTATCTGGTGGGTAAAACCCTATATTCTCCATGTTATATATAATATATATTATTTACTAATTCCAGATCAACGTTGAGCTCGTGAAAGGCATTGGCATTTCCATAATAACCCGAAAGCCTTGCGAGGAAATCATGTTCATCAGCCTCGATCACATACACTGCGATATATCGCAGGGTGCTTTGGAGAACTCCCTGGATTTGAACATTTCCTACATCCAAATCGATAACCAGTTGCTGGACGCTGTCAGTCAAATAGCCTTGCATACGCAAACCTCATCCTCGGACCATGATCAACACAAGAACGCTGTCGTTCTCAAGCTGAAAATGTTGCCTTGTCCGAATAAGAACGCAATCATTTTCAAGTACTTGACCCTGGACTTGAAGCCATGCACTGCAAATTTGGATGAGAAGCTCATACTGAAAGTGGCCTCGTTTCTGGGCTATGGCAAGATCAACAGGCAGAATCTGAGTGTGCAATATCAATTTGAAAACTTTGAGGACAAGCAGCCAATTCTGCAGGATATGAAGAGATACTACTTTGAAAATTTGAGTATTGGAGCGACGCAGGTGAATATTTTACATTGCTTAATTGAACGTTTTCACTTTTTAAAGTAAAGTAAGCTTAATAGATTAAATACCATATGATAACGAAACATCTAAGCAATTTGGAGTTAATGTTTGGCACTTTTTTGGTACTCAAACGTTGCACAACAACCTACCTCAACTTCCGTCAATTTTGCTATGATTGATGTGAAACTTTGACAAAATATTCTTTAGATATTGAACATATTCTTAAGATATTGGCACAATTAAACACCTTACCCCCTTAAGCTCTTTCAGTAAATCTCTCTCTCTTCACATAATACAATTCTTCCTTTCAGGTACGACTTTCCGCCTTCACATCCTCCAAGCTACCCGTGGAGCTGCATGAAACAAAAAAAACCCTAGGACTCACTCTGATTAAATTCGAAGACGCTCTCATTGAGCTGGACAGGTATTCGGATAGGTTACACTTTGAAACACTGGACGTGTATCTGAAGGAAATGAAAAAGCACTACGTCAATCAAGTCAAGTGGCATGCTGCGGCTATATTGGGAAGTGTGGATTTTCTGGGAAACCCTCTGGGTTTCGCCAACGATCTATCCGAGGGCGTTTCCGGACTGATTTTCGAGGGCTCCGTCAAGAGTCTAGTGAAGAACGTAACGCATGGGATATCGAATTCGACGGCAAAGCTAACGGAAACCCTTTCGGATAGCCTGGGAAAGGTGGTGCTGAATGATCACGACAATGAGACCAGGCAACGGATACTGGAACTGCAGTCCAATACGTCCGGCGGACACCTGGCAGCGGGTCTGAAGGGTCTCGGATTTGGATTGCTCGGCGGCGTGACGAGTATTGTGAGGCATACCTACGACGGGGCCTACGATGGTGGAGTTCCTGGCTTTCTTAGTGGCCTGGGCAAGGGATTGGTTGGCACCGTGACTAAACCCATCATAGGAGTGCTAGACTTGGCCTCAGAAACGGCCAGTGCGGTGCGAGAAACAAGTCGGGATACTCAGAAAAACACTCCGGATCGAAAGAGACTGCCGAGGTGTGTGACTGGTGCTCCTGGCGGCCTTCTACCCTTGTTTTCCAACCGGCAAAGCAAAGGGCAACAGTACCTATACCTCATCAATCACAAGAACTTTTCGGAAAAGATCATCTCCTACGAGGCGAATCTGTGGAGTGATAAGGAGGCGAGACTGCGCTTGTTGGTTTCCACCGAATTTGTACGAATTTTTTCATTAGTCGACGGCAACCCAACCATAATGCTTGAGTGTCATCTCTGCGAGATACTCTCGTGCCATCCGCTGATTACGAACGTGGGCACAACGCCATCGACGAGCAGTAGAACGGCATCGGCGGCGTGTCACTACATTGAAATATCCACAAATCTACCGAAAATAACCAGACCAAGGATACGATGTCGGTCGGAGGAGTGCGCTGAGGCGGCATCGAGATGTGTAAGTAGTGATTGTACTTAATAAATTTTGGAAAACCAATGTTCCAATACCCTTAAAATTGGATCATGAACATCAATTCTATTCCAATTTTCATTTTATGTCAGTTAAACATAATAGCTTTTTGGAAGCAAGAAGGGGGATATACTTTTTCCGATAGTTTATAAACTACTGAACTCAAATCCGGTCTCAGAAAATGTTCTGTTTGTCAGGTTTTAAAAATGTTTAAAAAGAATTGAGGTATAACTTCAATAAGTTTTTGTTCTCTAAACAATCGTTAAGATTTATTAAAAACTATTATTGCCTTTAAAATTATTTTTTAAAAATTTGGAACATTTATTATTGGATTTCGAGAATGTATATCTTGAATTTATATCCATATTTTTACAGATATATATTTAAATATCTCGAATTTGACAATATATATGGAAAAATAATCTCGAGATCCATAGTTTTTCCAAAATAAAAAACCTGATTTTGGAATTTCTTTCGGCAGAATTCAAGTTCAGTTCAAAAACCTTGGAAAAGTATTTTTGAGAAAGAGAAAATAGTAAAGAAAAAACAAAAAGAAAGCTAACTTTGGAAAACCGAAACGAAACCATTGGATTTTGATATTAGAATATTACCTGCAAAAAATAGGAATATTATTCAATAAGTTACATTCAGAAAGCTCTACAAAAATAAATAATACCCTCCGCAGTATTGCAATTATAAAGATATTCTTTTTTTTTATAGCATAAGTTACTTTTATTTACGTTTACAATTTGCGACAAACAACTATCACATATATTCATATTGTTTCTTTTAGATAAACTACGCAAAAAGTGTCTTTGATGAACGTGAACATGCCGTTTTATAAAATGCAATAATCCGGTTCGTGATAATACAAATAAACCTTTTTGACAAAAGAAAACCTTTAACAATTTATTTTCTTTGGCAATAGGTGTTACTTTATTTCCGATCTACAGTGTGCAATATAAAACATTTTAAAATTTAAGATTAGGTTTCTGGAAACAATTTGTTGGTTCAATAAAAACCAAGGATCAAAAGGCGATCAAAATGGAATATTTCAGATGAACTGACTGCTGTATATCTGTATATAAGGGTTGTCATGATGGGCATTGGTAAAATAAGAATGCTTTTAAGGTTAGTAACGTTTATAGATAACATATATAGACAGTATTTTTATTGTTTAATACTCGGCATTCTTGTAGTGCTCTCTCCTGAACGACGCCAGCTTCTGGCGCTGTGTTTGAAGCGCCTGCTCGATTTCGAGTACTTTGACATGGATTTCCATTTCCATTGTTTTAATTTGCGATGGCGTTAGCTTGGCCAGCTCGAGCTCGCTCTGCTGCTCCAGCTGGGCGTTACAATCCTTAACGGTGGCCACCAGGGTGCCCGTTGCTTGGGTAACGCTGCGCGAGGCCTTGGTCAAGTCGGACAGCTTTTGGCTATTGCGTTCGGCCTTGACCTTGCTGGCTATCACCATCTGTGTGGTGCAGGCGGCAATTTCCTGGGCGGCCACAATGAGCTCAAAGTTTTTGCCAGACTCACTTTCGATGGCCTTGTTGGCAGCCTCGACGAGATAGTTGGCCGCCTTGGCCACGCTCTTTGAGGCGGAAATCAAGCCATCAGACCACTGGCTGTTTCGCCTATAGAATTCATTGGCACTTGCATTTCCTAAAGGGGTTTTAATATTAAAATTTTAATTTATATGTAAATATTTAAATTCATAAATATGAGTGACTTCTGTTGTTTTTTTTCGTTATTTCGGACTCACCTTTTTGGGAAGCCACAATTTCGTGCTGTAAAAGACGTGATTTCTGGATCAGAACCTTGACGCATTCCATTAACGTCGTACACGAGTCCACAATCTTTCCGTTCACCTCCAAATTGGTCTGATTGTCCTTCTCCCGAGCCTTGGCCAGTAGGTCGGTTATCTTGCTGGCTGCATCATCGATGGCAGCATCCATCTCACGCAGCTCTATTTCGAGTAGCTTGTCCAAGTCGATCTTCTGTTCGAAGGTGGCCTTAATCTTCTCAATTAATTTTCGGATATCTGTTAGCTTCGCTTGCACTTCAGTTATAATTTGTTGCCCATCCTTTGCTTCGTTATTCAACAAATATTGAAACAATTGGCAGACATCTGAGCAAACCAATGAAGTTTTCGTGAAAATCTCTGGAAAAGTAAAATAAAATTTTATATTTATTGTAAAGTTGATGATCAAACGCACTTACCTTGACCCGTCTCAATAGCCGTTGTTGTTTTATAAATAACATCGCATTGATCGTACAGCTTTATGAATACATAGCCCAAGTACATCACATCGTGAATGCCTTCAGTCGTAGAAACATACTCTATAGCCGTGGAATTATTGAATTTATTAAGCAGGGATTCCATTTCACTTATAATGGCAGGCACTGCATCCAAGGGCTGTTGTTCCGAGCTGCTTAACTTTGAATTGCAGATTTCCCTCAACGTTTTGATGACCAATTTTCGGAGTTCGCTAAGGTCAGAGCTACAAGTTTGATAGGAATTTGTTACGGAAGCAATCTGTTGTGTTGCCTGGTTGAGTTTTTCCTCAATGGTAGTGAGTTTGCCTTGCAAATCCTCACTGCGTTGAGTCATCAAGGAATTGTCTTGCCTAAGTTGTTTCACAGTTTCCTGGGATTCCTGTTGAAGCGAGAATAAATTGAATTATATTTTCTCTTACATACATTTCTGAATGATAATTACCTGCAAAGCAGTTTCCTTTTGCTCCAAGTTATTTATTGTTTTTTGCAATTCAGCATTTTGCGCCTCTTGATGGGATTTATGTTCCACATTCAACTGCTCGATTTTGGTCAAGAGCAAAAGCTTTTCAGCTTCAAAAGCCTTTTGATTGTTTTCAATTTCAATATTCTTCGAGCTCACTAGGCTCTCGGCGGCTGTTAGCTTTTCTCTTGTTTCGCTGAATTCCTTTTCTTTTTCATCCAAATGGTTTTTAGTTTCCTGCAATTGTGTACTTTGAGCTTCATGGTTGGTTTTATGCTCCGCATTTAGTTGTTCAATCTTGGTCAAGAGCAAAGCCTTCTCCGCTTCAAAGGCTTTTAAATGATTCTCAATTTCGCTGCTCTTTGCATTTATTTGGCTTTCGGCTTTCAACAGTTTTTCCTGGGTTTCGTTGAGGGCTCCATTGAGGTCTTCAATTTTAAGGCAATTCAACCTTAAATTCTCGGAGGTGGAAGTGATGTCTAGAGCCTGCATTTGTTTCTCTTTAACAACATCATCGTATTTTTCCTCGATTTCGTTTTTTATTGTTTCCAGCTGCGTTATCTTTTCCTTGTGCTCTTCAACTTGTTTCTGCAGAGCCAAGTTGGCCTTATCTTTTTCCTCCACATTCCCTTTGATCTTGGAAATTTCGTTGGTAAGTTCTTTTGTTTCCAGCAAAAGCTGTGAGTTCACTTGCTTCTCCTTGTTTAAAGATTTATTAGACTCACTTTGCTGAAATTAAAATTAATAATTTATCAAGTAAAGAATAGAGAAAAATGGAAACTACTGACCTCTCTTAATAGCTGAATGTGTTCATCCCGAATTTTGGTGTAGAGGGTTTTTAGTTTGTTGAATTTCTCCGAAGATAACTTGTGCTTCTCCTCTTCCTCCATGGCTTTCTCTAAATTAATTTCAATTATATTAATTAATTATATTATAAGTTATATTGTAAAAAAAAGATATATGTATATCTGCACAAACTCACGCATTAAAATTGGATTTTGGTTTAGCTGCAGCTCCAGATCATCGTTTTGCATCCGAAAAGTGGCACACATTTCCCTCGCCAATACCAAATCATTGGACAGGATAGTGTTGTTCTGCTGCAACTCCTGCACATCCTGCCTGTAACTCTGCTGCAGATCATCATAGTTCTTTTGCAAGGCCACCAATTTGTAGGAAAGCTCCTCAATGCCAGCCTCCTTCTCGCTTATTATACCCTCCAACATGGTCAACTGCTGCTGGGCCTGACTAAACGCCTCCGCTTCGTGGTTGTTGGTGTCCACCAGATCCTCCACAACCGGATCGGGTTCTTGGGGCACGTGTACAACTGGCGGTACATAGCTGCTGAAATCGTTTTGCGACTTGAAGTTCGGACTTGTGTCCGGCAACTCGGGAACTGTGATTAAATCCTTGAAGTACTGCAGCGGACGAACATTGTTGTAGAAACTCTTGAGCTTCAAGAACAAACCATAAAACCGATCTCTGTGGCCCGAAACCACATCATAGGGTATGCCATCGTGCAGTTTGAACATTAGACGGACGCTCATATCGTACAGAGCATTGGAATCCTGAATGAGACAGACTATGGGCGCAAGCCTGCACTGTCCTTGCGGTGTCATCGAGGACATTCGGTACTTTTCCATTGAAGAAAATATGGTCTGTTGCAGGGCAATGATATCCTCCAAGTAATCGAAAATTTCCACGCATAACTGGAAGCTAGAATTAAGAGCAGTTTGTTAGAAAGTTCTTAAAATTTAAACATAAATAAATATGGATTTAAAATCAATTAAGGTCTGAGAAAGTATGCCATGAAATATTTTAAGTTTTAAGCAAATTTTTAATATTTAATTATTCCTTGTTTTGTATACTTTGCTAAATTGATTTAAAATCCTATTATTTATGTAGATTTCATTTTACCAATAGTTTAAATCCCGATCAACAGCCACAAAGAGTTCGGTGAAGGAAATATTCAGGGATCCAGGAAACATTCGATTCTTGTCGTGGAAATTCAACTTGGTGGCCAGCAGCTTGCTGTACGCCTGTATACAGCATCCGATGTCATCCTGTAGCAGCCCCCACATCTTGCCCACCTCGAGGATCATTTTCTTGTGACTCTGCGAGTGCCTTATGGCACTTTCATGCGCCTCTCGCAGGACCTTGTGCAGGAGATGGGAAAACTTCCAGGCGGTGAATCGGTTCTGCATTAAGGGTTGCCGTGAGATCATCATCCAGAAGGACTTTGCCTCCTTGGTCTTGTGGATCATAATAATAATGGAGCGGGCATGTTTGGTTTTGAGCGGCGCCTCCAGGCCATTTAAGGCTTTATTAACGCTGACGTTCTGTACATAAGAGATAATGTTTATTAATACTGAAACTGAACATTCCAAAAACTGTGTGATTCAGAGTGACCGATAATGAAACTATAAACATGTTGTTATGCTGAAATTCATGAATCAGTCCATAAACTTTTCGTTTTTAAATTTGAAACTCAAGATTAATAGTTACTGATAGTAAATGTGTGTTCCTATTCTGATGGAATGGTAATGCGGTTGCTATATATTATCTATAATGATATGTTATTATCTCAAGATATTCATTCTCTGCAGGAATGAATCACTCGGAATGCTAAATGTTATCTGGCTGGCAACAAAGAACGGGCTAATCTGATTTTTATACATAATTTCAAGCCGGTTATCTTTAATTTTGGTAGCCTGAAGTAGGTCGTTGCAAAGGTTGCAAGCATTCAGCATTCAATGCAGTTTCTATGCTGCTTTTCTGGGTCACCTACAGCCATTCATCATTCATTCACATTCACACTGGAGAAATTTCCTATTATTGTGCGGTTTTTAGAGAGCTCCTCCCGTTCCCCCTACATATAAGATCTGGTTCAAGGCTGACTTGTGGCTTTAAGTGAATGTTTATGCAAATGTCTATATACTCGGACTCGGCGGCAAGTGTCTGTATGTGTATAAACATTTACGGGTGGCGACACCCGACACCCCCGCACTACAAAGAACACTCATTGTGTGAGTATCAGTTTCAACGGATTTCCTTTTTAACAATTAAGTGGCAAATGTACATACCAAATGGTAGAATTCCTTCTCGGCGTGAGTTGCCATTGTTTACTGACAAATATTTTGTGTTATTTCCATGAACAAATTCAAACCGTTCGCTCCGCGCTATTTGTGCATTAAAGTGTACGCGAAAGACATTGGGACTGTTGGTAGTTATCTTATCTTATCAATGTTGCCTATTGTTTTCGTATTATTGGCTACATTTATATTCGTTTGAGTGTGTAAGGTAAAAATTAATCATATAAACAAATGTTGTTTTTGTACATCGCTTAGAGGTGGGTTTAACCACGGCGATACTCATCGATACTATCGCGTGCTTGCTATCGATTTGCGGTGTTTTCGCATCTCTACAGTTGGCGCAACCCAATGCGATTTATTTTCAAGTCAAAAAAATTAATTTTAAAAGGTTGAATTAAAAGCAGGGATCGCAAATAAGAGTTATGAATAAAATACAAATTTATACCAAATTAAGCAGGGACGACAAAAAATTTGTATACTATACTTTTTGAAGGACTTATGTATATCATTATAGCATATTTATTATTGTAGCATATAAATAAAAGACGTTTTCAAATAGCTTAATGTTATTAAATTTCTTAATTATTTTAAAAAGTAAAAGTATCCGACAAAAATCAGATTTGATAGATGCTAATGTAAACTCAATTATTTAATTATTCAATTGAATTAATTGTATTAAACTTTGGAGACAATTTTAAGCTTCATATTAAAAATGTTGTCTGTTTTACGAGTCAGACTTAAATGTTAATTTATTAATTTATCATAAAATTATTGTTGCTAATAAAATTATTAAAATGTTGATAAATTGAATTTCAATTGAAAATTACTTTACTTCTTAACCCCCATATCCCCTGAGATATATTTACTTAGATTAAAAAAAATATTAATTGACAAAAGTGATTGATATGGGTGGTTGCTATGGCAGTTATTATATATTGTAGCCCGGTTCCGATCGTATCTTCAATCATATACAATGTTTATGATAGCTAGATCGACTAGTCTGGTGACTTTGGTCAAAAATATATTAATGTTTAGAGTAGGCAGCAACTTGCAAACTTCTGTTTAAATTAATAAATCCCTGCAGCGTACATTTTTGTAAAAAATGATTCGTCTTTTCTATTTATGAATTAGTTTTGATATTCCGCTTGTCGGTTTGGCCGAGAACAGAAGTTCCTAGGTTGCGTCTGCATTTGATTTTGCGGCTGAATGAAGTGACGAGTGGAATCCTGAACTGGTCTCATAATTTGCTGCTGGACCGGATTTCCATAGGAACAACCTACACATCCGCATTGGCAAGGAGTTCGGGGCACTGCATCTATAGCCTGAATGATTTCCTGTCCAATAGAAGGCACCTGGAAGTCAGAGTCCATGCGAATGATGTTGTACTGCTGAATGGTGTGATCGTAGAACCCAAGGGGTAGGGCTTCTACTGCCTCCCTAACTAGTTGGGGGTAATAGTTGTATGCATGTTGATGATGGGGATCGACGATTTGTAGCTGCTGCTGCTGACAACTAGGAGCTGGTGTTACACCCAGTGACCTAACAGTGCTCCAATGCTCACTGGGCTCTATTAGGAAAGTTTCTTCAAAAGTGCTCTCATTCTGAGGATGGTAACCCGGCACTGGAGGAATCCCCGCGTAATGCTCACGAGTGAAGTTGCAGGGCGGTCGTCCGCAGGTCTGGAGTAGATTCTGCTTATTGCAGGTGGTCTTTATCTCAAGAAGTACGGTATTGCCAGGGCCAACGTCGGTATTCCAAATCTTCATACTCTCATTGCTACGAAGACGACGGGGTTGCAGTAGAGTAACCGTATCCATCTCCTCATCTGTTGTTTTTCCAGATTGGTTGGACTTTCTATAAGAGCATTTGCATGATGCCGCAGATCTGGACTCTTGAGATACTTCTTTCGAGGTTAGAAGTGAGTTTTCTGCTAAACTAGAATCGGAATTTCCTGTTATAGGTTCAGATTGGTGGCTCATTGATGTCTGAGAACTATTTCTATTAATGCAGCGTGACCTATTTTTCTTAGTTTGCTTACTGTAGGAGGTACCACTGCTGGTTTTTCCTGAGAACTGGCTTTTACCACTACTTTCAACGGATAAACTGTATTTTGAAGCCGGATTACGGGAACTTGAAGAAGCTGATGGACTCTTAAGTTTGCCATGATAGATTTTCCGCTGACATTTACAAGCTTTCGAGTAATGAGAATCACATCCATCCTCTGATTCACTGAGAGAAACTTCAGAACATTGCTTCCTCATTGTCGATTGTCTCTTTATATCCCTTTGATTACGCTGGCCATAAGTTCTTAGGTTCTTAGATGAACTTGGACTAGAAAAGGTATGATCAGAAGTAGAACATTCTTCCTCCGATGGGCTAGAAGTGATGTTGGAACTTGACTTCCTGAGCCTTCCTTTGTTTTGGGAACTCCCCATATGCGGACATTTTGTGTTTTGACGATACGGTAAATGCTCTTGGGATGAAGGACCTCTTGGTTGGCCCCTAATCTTTGGAACCTGATATGATTTATCTGATTCCATTTGCAATTCGCTGGAGCTAGACACAGGTAGCTGCTCTCTCCTTAAATTAAATTTTAAAAATTATTATTATAATTAAATGTTTAAAATAACTCTCACCATTCATCCGGCTGGCAATCATTTTTAGTTTTCCTGTTTGGACAGGGCACAAGCTCCATTGGTGGATTTTGCCTAGGACTAAAATCAGTTAAAATCAATATGCAGTTCAAGTTAAGGCCATGACCTACCTTCTTAGCTGCCTATTTCGGTAATCAGTATTCGCTCTCTGTTGCTCCTGCCTTGCATTGCATCTTTGCTTGGTTGGCATCATACTAGCTTTCAGGCTATAATCTGGAATTTTACACATGTCCTTGTCTGGTTTATATTTTTCTTGAATCCTTCGTGTGGGTATTTGTTCCATTTCGCTATCGCAACTTTCGTCCTGAACGGTGTCAGAATCATGTGTTAAGGTGTACAATTTATCGGGGATTTGATTTCTTGGTGAGAAGCACTGGCGATATATGACTGGTGTTCTTAAGCATCCTGGTGCTGAGTAGGATCGCTGCATTTTATTTACTAATACAGGAATCATTGGAGACATTTCCAGGTTTTTCGCTTGTTTTTGACATATCGTCGTATTTGATCGCTCACTCATACCACTCGCTGGCCTGTTGCTTAGATATGGAATTGATTGATTCTTTGGTTTCGTGGCTTTACCTTTAGATGGAATAATGTTCTTACTATCAGAAACCCTTTTTAAACGTTGCCTTTCCTTGGAGGATTGTTGCTTTAATTTGGAATATATTAGTCTTGAGTCAAATTTGCAGCTTGTTCCTGGAGCTCCATCGATATCCTGTTCTTGATCTGTCCTACTTGATCCTCTCAAACTGCGAGCCTTAGTTTGGGGTTTTTCTGAATATTGTGATGCCAAATCTTCATCCGTTTTGATACCATTTGAAGATGTTTGTGATATTTTTTGCTGTTTCTCCGAAGAAGTTCTGTTGAGTTCCTCCGAGTTTTGGCAGAAACTCCGATTCGTAAAGCTTACTATTAGCTGGTCTTCAGTTATGCCATCTTTAGACTTGTTTTGTTTACATGAAATATTATCCTTCATTTGTGATTCACCTTTTAGTTTTCCTGTAGAACACACCTTTGAGCCTGTTTTACCAGAACCCCTACTGGACTTACTTTCTATATTTCCATCTTCCTTACTGGGAAGGTCTTTAACACATATCATATCAGAAGTTTCCTTTTTTGAAACACCAAAACTTTGATAAGAAGACTTATATGCTTTCTCTTCCGAATTTATTGATTTCTTTGATCGTTTACTTTTGTTGTCCAAAGGAAAATAATATTCTTGGTCAATTTTATTCTTCAAAATAGAGCCACTGACTGATTTTTTTTCTCGAGAAATACTGCCAGATTGGGACTCATCAATACCAATGATTTCTTGACCAGTGCTAAGGCGATCAAAGGGTTGGTGTTTGCTTCTACATGAAGATGTATCACATGATTCACATTTTTGTTCAGCTTCACTATCGTTGGTATGTCCAGTCTCGTTACTTATTTTCGATTGAGATCTGCACACTCTGAAGCAAATGGATCTATTTCTTCGAACTCCTGGGCTGCAAGGACATGCTATAGGAGTCTGTGAGCTTAAACTATCTTTCGGAGAAGTATTCCTATTTAATGATTTTTTTAATAGAGCCTTTTTATTATATTCTGTTGAAGAGGATACTGGAATTGCCGGCCTTTGATTCTGCCAGTTTTGGCCACATCGATGACAGCAATGCCCAGAAGTCCGGCATTGGTACATACAACTAGATTGGCTTTGTGATCCTTGTGACATGGCACAGGTATATTCAGGATAGACCTGAGTATGTTGGCAGAATGCGACGGATGGCTTTACAACTGGATCGATTTCGTTCATATTAACATATTGCCCACATGGCCTACATGGCCATGTTGCTGTCGGTGATCTTTGATACAAGCATACAGCTTCCGGGGTGTGGTTTCTATGACAAGTGTTTCTCTGGCAGGTCGGCCAGGATTGTTGATAACAATGTCCAGGATATTGGTGGGGTTGATACATTGAAGGAGTCCATGAGCTATAAGCGCGGTACATGCAACATGGCTGGTACTCCGATCCTTGACATTCATTCGGGCAGTTCCATTCATTCGCAAAGGTCTGACGACGGCAGCAGTACGCAGTTGCTGGCTCGGGATCAATCCATTCATGCTCCTTTGGAAAGGTCTGACGGCGGCAGCAGCAAGCAATTGATGGCACGGGATCAACCCATTCTTCCTGAATTTGCTTAGAGTTATTTTCTTCAACTTCTGGTTTTGGTTCGATCTCTTTCATTTGTAGCTTTTCCAGAGAATTATTTTTTACATTAGGTTCAGGATCAAGAGATTTAGGATTCTTCTCGATTTCTTTAACTTTTATTGAATCCACTGACTCTCTTGGCTTTGTGACTATTATTGGTGTTTGAACTTGTGGTCCTTTTCCTTCTTTGTCTTCTAGCTTTTGAGAATCGTGGTCTACTTTTTGGGAAATTTTCGAGGAACTCTTACTTGTAACCTTTTTTGTGGATGTGACTATTATTGGTTTTTGATCTTGTGGTTCTATTTCGACTTTCTCTTCTAGCTTTTGAGAATCGATTTCTACTTTTTTTGAAATTTTCGAGGAACTCTTACTTGTAAGCTTTTTTGTGGATGCAGTTGCCTTGGGTTTTCTAGATTTCTCTTCTGCTTTATCAGTCTTAATACGTGGCTTTTGTGCTTCCTTTAGGAAAGAACTTGCTGATGAAATTGGCTTGATTTCCTTAGGTTTCTTTTCAGTTTTCTTGGACTTACTAGGTACCTTAGGAACATTGTTTAGAACACTTGGAACACTTGTTGATGCAACTGACTGACTTTTCTTCTTTTCAGTTTTCTTAGTTTTAGTAGTTGGTTTCCGCACTTCGTTATTTGATAATAATGTTTCCTCACTTTCTTTCAAGGGGCTTACCTCTTCACTGGCTTTCTTCTGGTCTTTAAGAGTCCTAACATATGTGGACTTCTCGGCAAAGCAACGACATTCAGTGGATTTGGCTGCCAGTTGATCTTTGATTTCCCACAGGCAGCGAAGCAAATCGGATTCATCATCTCCGGTTTGAGTGGATGTCTCGCAGGGACAGGGACTAGGACGTTTCCTTAATCGCCTAAGTCCCTTTTTAGCAGTTGCGGGTTGAGGTTCTGAAATGGGAGCCGGCAGAGCCTTGCGCGTTGTCAAGCAGAAGGGGTCTCCACAATTTGTTGCCGGAACAAGGGCTTTACATTGACTGACATTGTCTGGGAATGACTGCAAACCAAATAGACTGGCTAGGCTTATAGGAAAAGGAATATTCACACGAACAGGTAAATTGCACTCGAACCTATTGAGGTTCTGTTAGAACAGAAAACTAGTCTTTTCTAATGCTAACTCACCAAATACCATCTTGTTGCTGTTGTTGGGTCTTAAGTCCCTCAATCGCACATACTGGTGATTTGGTTGGCCACCTTCTAGGCACTATTTTCTTGAACTTTGGCTTGGCCTTTACAACAGTCTTTGAATCTGCGTCCTGTGGCTCTGATTTTGAATTACAAGGTTTCATTTTTTTACTTTTCCGCGATGTTTTCGAGGAAAACACAGCCATTGATAAGTCGCAATCACAGGCAGAAGAGCCTCCTGGCATCAGGGAGTCTTTCTCACCGAAGATGCCAGACATCTAAGCAAAAGGGAGGTAAGAGAGAAGTCCCCATATTAGCTATTTAAATATCTCCAGAGATCTTAAATAATCCCTTACCTTGGTCTTAAGCCTTATAGATCCAGCAGATAGTCTTTTTATTTTCTCAGAGCTATCGCCAGAAACTTTGTGGCTTAAGTTGGATTGCACTGGACTCCCCTTGGAGAGTGAACTATCATTTGATTTATTTTTGTTTTTTCTTTGGCTGGTGGTTGGGCAACTTCTCTTCTTTGGAAGAGGGTTTGTTTTCGAGGGATCTTCGAGCTTGTGTGAGGACGAGGACGATTTCCTTGGTAATTGTTTGCCCGTAGAAGATTTCTCAACTGCAGTAATTTTGTCAGAACCAGTAATCCTTGGACACGTTGGGGGACAGCACAGTTCGATTGATTCCTCCGTGGTTCTGTTCTGCCCGGGGGAACAGCAGTGCATTCTCCGGCGACAGCACGAGTAGTGGTATCTCTGCGCACCGCGAAACAAATGATTTAAATTACACATTTCCCAATTAAAGTTAATCCTTCACATTGATCTTTGATTGGAAATCTGTAATTTGAACAAAATGAGGCGTGGCACTTCGATTTCAGCTTCTCCCTTGAAATGCCTGGATCAATTTGGAATTTACAATATAAAATTTCGAAATAAGATAGCCAACTGACAGACAAATCAAATTGAAAACACGGTAGATAAATCAAATAACAACTTTATTAATGGGAAGGTTCGTTCGTTCCTGATAAGCCTCAATTTTAAACGGAAGAATTGCACAATTAAAAAGAGCTTGATATATCTTACTCTCCATTCGTAGGATATCTTACCCTGGACAGGCGTCCTGACTGTTCATGGTAAGCTAGGCTACGAATTTCGGTACGAGTTCAACGGGGCCAGCAACGCGGCATCATGAACCGCATCTGGGCAAATCGCGGAAGGTACCAACTGGGACAGCGGGAGGAATATGGAAACATATTCTGCTGCGACGAACTCGGTAACTGATTCGGCTGGCAGGGATACGATGACTGTTGTTGCTGGGAAGGAGGCTTATAGCATGGCTGCTGGGAAGGATGTGGTTGCTGCTGGTAAGGAAACTGTTGCTGCTGGCAAGGTGACATTTGTTGATACTCTTGTTGACATGGAGGAACATTTCGCTGGCATGGGGGAACTTGCTGCTGGCAAGGAGGCAATTGCTGACAAGAGAAAGTCATAGGCATGTGTAATGGCATGGCCTGTTCCTGGTAGCATGAACTTTGATTTGGCAGGGACACCGGCGCTGGACGGAAACCGAACTGAGCCGTCTGTTGACCCGAATCCACTCTTGTTTGATTAGATCCAAGGGACTTCTGCTCCTGCTGTTGCTCTGATGGTTCTTCCCGGCCCTCTCTGTTGTTATTTTCGGAAACATTCTGTTCCACGGCCATGTTATTCATGAACTGTGCACATATGTTTGGCGTGTAGCCAGGACAATTGCTGGGAGCACACCCGCAGGCGCTATTCAGCTGAAGCTGCACCTTAGCAATCTGGGCCTGGGCCTCCTGCATTTGCTGCTTCAGCTCCTCGGCCAGCATCTCGTTCAGGCCACAGTTGTTATTCTGGATGGCCGGCTGTGCCTGTTGTTGTTGTGGCTGTGGCGTTGTTTGCATATGCGTTTGCTGTGGAAATTGCTGTCGACTTGGACACTTCCAGCATACTTTGTGGGGCGGATTCTGTCGGCAGCTCGGTCGTTTTATACAAGTCCGTGGAGGTGTCCCAAAGGGTGATTGATGTTGCCCAAGGGACGATGGCTGTTGCATGTGAGATTGTTGATGGTTTAAACGAGAAGGTGAATATTGCATACTAGGAAGTTGCTGTTGCATGTAGGGAGCTTGTTGCTGTCTGCAGGGAAGTTGCTGTTGTCTGCAAGGAACTTGCTGCTGTTGCCTGCAGGGAACTTGTGGCTGTCTGCAGGGATATTGTTGTTGCCTATAGGAACCGACCCAGTTCATATCCTGTTGCTGTTGCTGCTGCTGCATATGTGGATTCTGTTGCTGCTGCTGCATCTGTGGATGCTGTTGCTGCTGTTGCTGTTGCTGCTGCGGCTGCTGTTGTTGCTGCTGCAGTGGATATCCATACATAACCTGTCTGCACTTATTGCATGGATCACTAGTTGGGGGGTCATTGCCATTGTTGTCGTCTACTGCCAGGAAGTGGGACTCGGTCACCTCGCAGGCAGTGACGATCTCCGCTGGATGCAACCCTTGCTGCTCTCTATTGCAAATGGCCACAAATTTGCCACAGTTGGAAACGCCGGGCTGGAACCACATATACGAGCCCTTACATCTTCGGGTTGGATATTCCCCACGAAAGCAGGGAAAGACCTTCTCGTCTGTTTGCATAGACTGCTCCATGATGGGGTTTTTTGGTTCAATTGGTGCACATAATTCCTTCGGCTCCTCCTCTAAAGAACCCTGAGAGCATTTATTTGACATTTCATTGCTGCCTTTTTGTGAGATACTTTGCTGACTACTTTTTAGAGAAATATCCGAGCCGATGCTCTTCTGTTCTATACTTTCTGGGAACTCATCCAGGCTGCCCTTCCTGGAGCCCTTTTGGCCACTTTTATTGGCTAGATTCGATATTTCAATGATTCTGATCTGTGACATACCTTGTAGGCTATTTTCTGCGGAAATATCCCGGCTGTTCTTCTTGGAGCTCTTATGGCCATTATTTTTTAAAATATCCTGGGAATTATGAATGGTTATTTCGTAGCTGCCACTCGGGGACCTCGGGCTGTTCTGGGACCTCGGGCTGTTTTGGGATCTAGGGCTGCTCTGGGAATTCCGGCGGCCCTTCTCTGACGTCTTTGGTCTTATCTTCTCCGATGTCTTCGGGCTACCTTGTTGAACGTCTTGAATGCTATCATTTGATGATTCTTGGTTGCTTTTTTGGGTTTTCTTTGGGCTACCTTGTGGAATATCCTGGATGCTTTGATGTGATGTTTCCTGGCTGCTCTTCGGGGATCTCTTTGGCCTACCCTGTGGATTATCTTGGTTGGTATGTGATAATTCGGGGCTGTTCTTTTGGGGCTTCTTTGATCTATTTTGTGAAGTATCTTGGATGCTATGAAGTGATGCTTCCTGGCTGCTCCCCAGGGCAGGAGTGTCTCTTGGCCTTGTACCTCCCTTTACCCTTGGTATCCTTTCGTATTCCTCTTCTCTGGCCTTGACCTGGGCCATCGCGAATTCTTTACTTTTATTTACCTTTGGGACCTTTTCGTATTCCTCATCTCTGGCCTTTGCCTTGGCCTTTGCGGACTCCCTGCGCCGCCTTAAGAAAGCACCCACTGAGAACTTTGTAACCTGCTCCACGCCCTTGTTAATCGTTCGATCTCGGCCAGAAACTTGCCTAACCGGCAATCCCGCCTGCAATATATACGACGTCGTCGCTGGCGCCTTGAGAGGTCGGCAAATATTTGAGCGGGACCGTTTGGGGAGTGCAGACTGGCTAAAGGTTCGAGACCGAGCAGCGTCCATGACACATGAGGGTAGGGTCTGGACTAATGTTAGCAGCAGCTGCTCCCCAATCTCGCTATTTATCTGCATTGATCGGTGAGAATCCGGCCCGGAAGCTTCCAATGCCTTTCGCGAGGCACTTACATTGCGACAGTGTGGTCCCTGCGATCTGTCTGTCCTACCGCCGCAATTTGGCATTTCTTCCTTTGAAACGATGCGAGTTTTCAATCAATTTTACAATGCTTCCGTTTAAATTTGCTTTACGACATGACACAAAATTTTAAAATTATATTGCTTTCAGTTTGAAAGTTGATGAAAGGACAGGTCGCTTCTTCAGTCTCGGGATAAGTTAACAAGGTCCAATGTGCAACCTTGTTATTAAAAGTAATTTTACAGAGAGTTTCCCATGACATAAAAAAGGATCTAAGCTTAATTATGTCTTTTGAGCACACATTTTAAGGCGCAAAATATCAAAATGTATTCTAGTTTAATGACTTTCAATGCCCTAAGTTACCAAGCTCTCATTAGAACTGAAGCCTAACTAGGGCACAAAAGGGGCTTACTTCTAAAAGGCTTGGCAGCCTTGCTTAGTTAAAAACATCAAAAATGTATTAGGTTTTAATGTTTTATAATATTTTACAACCACTCTATTTTCTTGTAATATTATTTGGCCATGCGTTTACTTACTTGGTACTTTTAACAAGAAAAAGAGGTCTTTACGTTTGAAATGTGCTATCCGTGTCGGTGTCCCAGGAGGAGCATCAGCTGCCATGGAGGGTAAGCTCAAGAAAAGGGAGTTTGTTTACGTCTCATGAGTTTTTATCTTTTATTCCAGAGAAACTTGTTGTCCTCGGCCTTATTGCCATCAGCGTTCTTGCTCCACTGGCAATTCTCGCGTCATCTTCCCTGGGGAGTTTCAAAAGTTCTCGGACATGATCCCACCTAGTTTTCTTGTAACGGAGCCAAAGTGCCGAAACGTTAAAAAGAAATCAAATTGTGCAAATCAAGCTTCCAAGGTGGTAAAAGATTCAGATTGTGGGGACAAAGGACAAAGAAGTAAATCATGCGATCCCGAAGAACCAAGATGTCCAGAAGAATTAGGATTATCAGGGGAACCCGGATTTTCAAGAGGTCTTGGAACAGGACTGGTGGACTGCTGTCAACCCACAGATATGCCTTGGTATGAAACCAACTGTATGCCTTCTCAACCCCAATGGGTAGATTATGGATGTCCTGGTCCTGTTTGCTGTCCAATAGACCGTCAGGGATTCAATTCTGAACTCCGAGCAGCAGGACTGCCTTCTAAGCGTTCGCCTCCATTTAATCCCTGCACAGGACAAGTTTATCAGTGTGCAAATCCGCAAATGGTAGAAGGAAACCCCAACGCTATTGGTCAGACATATAACCAAATCTGTCAGGGCGTAAACATATGCTTTAGTCCTGCCAACACTTGTTTTCAGTTCACTCCTTGTAATTTCGGAGGAGCAAACTCAGACGAAGCCAATCAAAATCAACCATATTACCAGTTTTGTCAGTGTGCCAACATGGGTCCCGGTCCTGGAACCCCGTCTTCAGAAGATCCCAGTTCATTATCACCTCAGGGTGATAATAGATCAAAGGATCATAGAAAGGGAAAAGAAAGGAGAGAACAAAGCGTAGCCAAGGCAACGAAAAACCAACGCCATCAGTATAATCAGAATAACTGCGAAGAGGGCGGAAACTTAAACGAAGCTAATCGAAATCAAGCAAATAACCGATTCTATCAGGGCGTTAACAATGGCCTCGGACCTCCTAACCCGTATTATTTATACAACGGCGGAGATGGTACACTAGGTCCTTCTTCAGAACATCCCAGGTCAGCACCTCAGGGTGATAGTAGATCAAAGGATCATAGAAAACGAAAAGAAATGAGAGAAGGAAACGTAGCCAAGTCAACCAAATCGAGACAAGGTCCCACCGCTAGCCAGCGCCATCAGTATAATCAGGATAACTGCGAAGAGGGCGGAGACCTAAACGAAGCTAATCGATATCAAGCATATTACCAATACTGTCAGGGCGTTAACTTGGGTCTTAATCCTGCTAACCCGTATTATCTATACAACGGCGGAGATGGGACACCAGGTCCTTCTCCTCAGCATCCCAGGTCATCACCTCAGCCTGATAATATATCAAAAAGTCAAAGAAGTGTAGCCAAGGCAACTAACGCTAGCCAGCGCCAACAATATAATCAAGAAAACTGCGAAGAGGGAACACAATCAAACGACTTTAATCGAGGTCAAATATATAAGGATCCACGGCAAGTTTGTCAACATCCAACATATTCTGGCCAAGTGTCCCAAGGTGGTAAAAGGTTAGCGTATCAAGAAAAAATAAGCGAAACCAGAGAAGTTCCCCGATCTAATCACCACAATCGATATAATTCCCAGGATTGCAGAGAGGAAACAATAGATCGTAGACAAAATCCTCAAGCACAACAATCTGGACGAGTTTCTCATCAGAATCCAACTGCTGGCCATGTTTCTCAAACAAAAAGAATCGAATTAAGAGATGCTTCAAGATCTCGTTCTCAAAATTTAAGAAAGGAATCAATAGATCCTAGAAAATCTCCTCAGACAAATTCACCTGTCAATCGAGTCCCTCGATCTACTCATAGATCGAAATCTCTAGAGCCGCGAACCGAATCAAGAGGAGACAACTTAGCCAGAAAACCCCAACCAAGCAGATCAGGAACCATAAGTTCTGATCGAGTTCCTCGTGCTGATGCCAGGTCAAGGTCCTTGGGAAAACAAAACGAATCAAGAGATCATCCCTCTAAAAATAAACCTGAATCTAATTTGAATTTCTATAAACAAAATGTGGGCATGAACTTCGGGCCCTCAAATGAGCACTATATAGCCAATTATACTCCACCCGATCCCATCTATACTACTACATTGGATTCCACTTTGTGTGACTCGGGTTCTCCAAGGGAACGAAACGAATCGAAGAGAGGGAATACAACTAGGAATTATGGGCAATCCAGACAAGAAAGTCTCCCGGAATATCAACCAACTTGTGGAGCTCCTTATAACCTGCGATTTAATCCCACCATTCAGTACTCTAACCAATGTTACAGTCCTCCATCCCCAGAGAAATTGAGGACAACAAAAGAGAAGACCCACAACCTGCCTTCCAATGACCGTTCGCAGCTTCTCAACCGGTGAGTCTACTGTCACAGAGCTCAAATATATTCATAATTTTTAGCCATAAATAGTCACACACACCCACACCTACAGACACTGTACAACTTTACATTAATGTTTCGTCAAAAATGAAACTGTGTTCATTACAGCTCTCGCGAGACCGGACAATTTTATGATCTGCAGATGCCTAAAGAAACTTTTAACCAGCAGCCGGTTTCGGCAAAGAAGTGCATGTGCAAGCCAACGCTCTCAGAAATACTCGCAAATGAAATATCATCACAGCCGCATGTGCTCCTGCTCAAGAAACGATTGAATAAATGTCCTGCAGAGCAACAGGGCTCCGGACATGTGCTCATGCTCAAAAAGCAAATGGACGGACAGAAGAAAAGTCCTGCAGAGCAGCAGAGCTCCGAGCCACAGGAGAAATGCAGCTACGATTATCAGGAGGATGACTGCAGCAGCTCAGACACGGAGGAACCCAAAAACTCCCCTTGCACGGAGAAACCCGTCAACTGCCCGTGCAAGGAGGAGGCCAAGTAAGTAGTGATGAAGTCCGTGGGATGGGAGAGGATTTTGACACTAGTTTTGACCACAGCTACTGCAAGAATGGCGCTGGTGTTGATGCCGCTATGTCCGCCGGGTGCACCAACAGATGTGGATGGATGACATGTCCTAATCCCTGGCCCTGTTGCTGCGGTCGCTTCAACGGACCCTGCAACAGTTCCTTTATCGGTCCCTGCAAAAGTTCCTTCATCGGTCCTTGCAATAGTACCTTCCTCGGTCCGTGCAATGGTCCTTGCAACGGTCCCTGGAACAGGCCCCGCAGCGGTCCCTGCAATGGTCACCTCTGCTACTACGGGAACTGCTGCAGTGGTTGTGGAAACTGCTGCAATTACCGCTGCAATCCCTGCGGTGGCTGTTTTTGCCAACCGTCGGCAGGCCCGGCCAAGACTGGCAAGGATTCTGGGAAGTCCAAGGAAAAGCAAGAGGGTAATAGGACTTTTCACAGTCGAAGACTAGGCGGTACCGCCGGGAACAATCGAACTTACAGTAGCCTGCGGCCAACATCTACATTTGGCAATTTCATTCCGGCGCATCCAACCATGCAAGGGTATTTTCCAACACCGCCGCCCCAATACATCTCTCCGTACAGTGGACACTGGCAAGCGGGCGAAGTACTATTGAATCCGATGTTTTCCAATCAAAATACCCTGGACAGCTAAAAGCGCCACTGACACGCCAATCATAGTCATGTTTAAATTTTTCGTTGAAATATTTTTAACACTTTTAACACGAGTCTACGCCTAATAAAAAATTGTTTATTAAAACCAATTTATGTATTATTATATATATTTTATAAATCTCCTGTTAGTTTTTTATTTGATTGAAATTAATCGAAGGTAAATTTTTTTCCTAAAAATTTTCCAGATGTTACTATGACAGACGACGAATTTCGTCCGTCATAGTTTTAATCTTCGAGGATCAAGGTTTCTGAAAATGGTCGTAAATACTTATCCTGGACTGAGTTTATGGAGATGAATATCCCACCAACTTTGTTGTTTCCTGGCATTTCATTTAAACTGATTTGACATTGAAACACACAATTTATTTAGATTTTCCTTAGTACTTTCTTTTATTAGTTCAAATCTTGAATTTCTTTTTCCTTTTATACACTCTTTGTCTGTGTGTTCTCTCTTTTGTATAACCATATACATACATGTATATATATATATATAGACTTTTTGAAAATTTTCTTTGTGGGCTTCGGTTTTGTAGAAAAACTTAAAGAGTTCTTTGTCATAAAATTAAATACAATTTGAAAATTGTTTTAGAAAAGAGACCTAACTAAAAACTATGAACATAGCACACATTTTAAACATGTTTGTGTAGTGCAGCCATTAATATTGTATGTTTTGTGTTTCTATAATAATAATAATGATAATAATAATAGTAATGGGGTATTATATTAGATTGTTAAATAAGAAAATAGATATTACAGCTAAATGGGGGAAATTCTAGCACATGATATATGTATGGATCTGGGTTCCGCAGCGCTGCTTCCTTTAAACATAGATCTAAACTGAGTTTGGCTTGCATATTGCCCTTTACTTTACTTTACGTTATGTTTGCATGATTAGCTTTCGTGTTGTACATATTAAATGTAGGTATATATATATATTTTTTTATGGTTATCTTACTCGCTATATGGACTTCTTTATCCGCCCTTATTCATCTTGCATCCCGCACTCGATATATTAAGCTTTAACAATTATGTTATGGTTGATAATTAAAAAAGAAAGAAAACAAAAACTACCTACACTTTCTGCATAGCTCAAACTATTTACATTGGACAGTTTTCTTTTTTGTGGGTCGACTGAGAACGCCAGAAATGATGGTTTTTGAGGATGTGTGGGTTTAAATTATTTGTCGGTATGTCTATTATTTATGGATAAGTGTAGCTTTTGTTTCAAATCACATATGTTTGCACTCCCAAACGAAAAAAATGGTGAATAACTTAAGGAAATGTTGTTGTTGTTGTTAATGTTGTGTCGGTGAAGATTGGAATAAAGCTTCGTCCTGCCTCCTAGGCATTCTCATCGGTCACATAGATGTAGCCATGCTGCTGCAGTATGCTCAGACGCTTCTCGACGGCATCGCGATCTAAATAAGAATAAAAAAAAAGTAAATTTATTAATGGATTTTAAGCGTTTAAGATTTCACAACAACTTACACTTGTTCAGCAGCATTTTGTCCTGCGGATGAGTGCACTTTTGCACCAACGAATGCAGCAGAATGTGTGCCGTATTGTAGCGTTCAAAGCAATTTTTGGTGTTCTTCAGTAGCTCATCTAAAGCAGCCGCCTGACACTGTTTAATGGGTTTAAAAGTTAAACGATTAAATCAGGAAGAGCAGAAAAAAAATGTATAAATCGATACTATATCGATTTTTGTAAACATTTCGATATTTAAATAAAATAAATTCCATTTTTCAATATATTTTTGTTCTTTATGTTGCATGTAAGTGGTATTTATTTATTAGTTTAAGTTGTTTCTCTTACCATATCCAGTGCATAGTCGTACAGAATCTTGTCCGCCGTAATATTAAATGCATTTGCCTTCTGCAGCAGACCGCTGCCATTGAGGCGCTTGGACTCGAACAGCATGCTCCGGTATTTGGCGTTCATGGTGAGCAGAGCTGCCAAGCATAGCAAGAATATGTTTTACATCAGCCTGACCTTATTTTTAAAAGATTAATCCGCCACTTACCATTCTTCACATTGGACGACGGCTTCAGCTGGCCATTGCGCAGCTGCTGGGAAGCCAGATTCATGCCGGACGAGAGCAGCTGCAGGCCACGGACGAGCAGCACGAGGCGCTCCGCTCGCTTGCAGTGCTCCGGAGCGTGTGGCGGTATTTGCTGAGCATCCGCCGCTGCTGCTGCCGCCGCCGACTGACTGCCTGCAACCATGAGCGTGGAAAGCGGTGCGCAACGGGAATCGGCCACCTCCTGGATGCAGTCGGTCAGGGCCAGCACAAAGTTCAGCTTGGATAGGGTCTCGTTGTGCTCGCGATCCATCAGCGTCTCCTCGGAGAGCTCCGGTGCCTGGAATGCATGTGGTTCGCCGCCACCGCTGCCGGCTCCAGTGTCCAGCAAGCTGTGCAGGCCACCGGTGGCGCCCAGCTCGGGAAGCGTGAACGCTCGCGGTCCCAGCATATGGTGCTGATTGTTGTTCTCCGACCCGCTGCCCGCCGAGCCAATAGATCCCAGGGATCCCGGAGCCACCAGCATGGTGGGACTACCCAAAGTGGGCAGCTTGGTGAGCGCTGCGGACGGGAGGACCGGAGAGCTGTTGCCGCTTCTTCGCAGCGGCGATTGCGAGTGTCCCGGCGACACCTGCCAGGTGCTCGGAGCATGCGGGGGCGGCGTCTCCGATAGCGATCCACCCGAAGCGGAGCGCATCCGCGTGGGTGGCGTTCCAATGGCAAACTGCACCGCCGGCGGAGAGATCGAATTAATGTCACTGCTCACACTGCTCTTGCGCTGATCCGGCCGCGGCTGCTTTACGCTAATGGGCTGCGATCGGGGTATCTGCTGGCCGCCCAGAGTGGCCACCGTCAGGGGGACAGATCCCTGCCTAGCCGGCGAGCCATTGGCAACCTGGCGCCGAGCTGGAGCCGGTACTGGCTTCGGCTCGGAGATGGGCAGACTGCTGGGTCGTGGCGGACTGGATTGATTCTGTTGCGGCACAGGGCGTTGGCCACCGGAAGCGGGCTGAGCTTGGGCCTGGGCCAGGCCCTGGCGCTGGTCCTCGGGCAGGTTCTTGGGCACCAGCACAAAGTCATCGGAGTCCTCGTGGGAGCTGCACGATCCGCTGTTATTCTCGCTATCGCACAGCACGCCCACATTGGTGATGGTGGCACAAATGGCCGGATTGGCCACCACGGAGACTGGAAAAGGTCAATAAAATATGATAAAATTTGTTACAAAACAAATAATTTATAATCTTACCGGTATTCTCCTCCTCCTCTAGGGCCGCCTCCTGCTCCTCGCGCTCCCTCTTCTGCTGCTGCTCGGCCAGCTTGACCAGCTGCAGTTCCTGCTCCAGCTGCTGCTGCAGGGGGCTCTTGGCCTTGGCAGGCGGGGTACCGCCCAGCGGTGGCATATCAACTGCAAGTACACCAGTCTTAGAGACTCGCCGCCGCAGGTTGCTACTTGAGTGCTCACCTGGCGACGATGCGGCCGCCTTCTTGCCCTGAAGGAAGCGATGCACAAAGAAGCTCTCGTACGAGATGCGATCCTTGGCGTTGCGGCGCAGCAGGCACAGCAAAAGATCCCTCAAATCCGGCGACACGCCATGGGGAATCCTAGACGATACCAAGAGATTAATTAGTTCTACCCATCGAAGGGCTGGAAAAGATCTTACTTGGGCGCCAAGTTGGCGTTCTGCTCGTAGTAGAACTTCAGCTCGTTGGGCGTTTGTGCATAGAAGGGCGCTTTGCCCGTGAGACACTGATAGACAATCGTGCCCAGAGACCAGAGATCCGCCTTGGAGTCGTACTGCAGCGACATGATTACCTCCGGTGCCTAAGGAATGTGGAGGTGAATGTATAATAATGTCACCGAGATAGGCATTCTAGACTCACCATGTACATGGGCGAGCCGCACAGAGTGGCTGCCATGGCGCCTTCGTTTAGAAAGCGAGCAAACCCGAAATCGGCTAAAAAATAAAACATTTCAAAATATTAGTATTCTGAGAGAAAGACTGGTCAAACAAGTTCCAAAATTATATCTTAAGCTACATCAAAAAAGTAATTACCCAACTTCGTTAGAAACTGGAAAATGGAAAGTTTTAAACTAGTTTTATTCTTTTTACTAAAGCTTCAAGAATTATGTGCTGATTATTGGATAAGCTAATAAGCACATGTCTTTATTACTTGCCTCGTGATACACTTTAATTAAAGTCTAAAGTTCTGTACTTTTTACTCACCAATTTTCAGGGTTATCTTCGATGGAGCTGGCAAGGTTTTGCCATAATTGTGCGATAGCAAAATGTTTTGTGGCTTGAGATCACGATGCACAATTCCTTTGGTATAAAGTGCCTTCATAGCACCAGCTAAAATTTAAGAAATATATACATGTATAAGAAATGTTGGTGTCGTTTTTTAAATAAGTAGAAAAGGCTTATCACCCGGTTGGGACGAGAACAAGTTGGGAATTTTAGTGACAAATCAAGCGATAAGTGAATTGTCTTAATTGGAATATTGAAAGTTAAATGTAAGATTGTATACATAACTTGTTGATAAATAAAAGATCTATAAATGGTTATACCCAATCTTACCTAGTTGTACGAGGAAGAGTCTAACGGTGTCCTCGCTCAGTGTTCCCTTGACACTCAGGTAATCCGCCAGGTCACCGCCATTGCAATACTGCAAAGAGAAAATCGCAGACAGAAAGAGTGAGTAGAGTTAAGTGAAAAACCCAATTAAGAGTGCGGTCCCCAGGCGCAAGTCAAGAGTTCAGTGCGCACATAAATTATCTAGATTCAGAGACCCCCAGAGACCCCATCCATGCACCCTCAAAGACAAAATCTCAGAGCAAAGCGCGACCCATGCAAATGAATTAAGTTCAATCAGCGCGAAAATGCAAGAGCCTCGAGATTCGTCTCTGTCTTCGTCTTCTTGTTCATCCTCCAGCTGCGGTTCGGTCTTTTGTCCGACATTCAACCAATTATTGAATGCGGCAGAGCAAGGTCACCGCGAATATGATTTATGGCAATTTTCTGAATCAAGAACTGGAATTAGGGAAATATCTTTCTGTTTATGGAACAGCCGCCAGCCAGCTGCTTTCGCTTTGTCGCATATCCAACAAAAGGATCAGTTCCGGTTTATTTTGGCATTGGAAAAAACAAAAGTACGAGTTACACCTGGCCACTAAAATCAGTTTAGAGTTATGATTTTTTTAATTAAATAATTATTGTTTGAACAACTAAGCCTTTTGTGTACTTTTAACATTGGACTATGAAAATAAATTGTAAAATAAAATGTAAAGTAATCTTATTAAAAATAACAAACCGTGTTCTGTATAATTCTTTCTTAATATTTATTATAGAAAACTTTGGAGAACCAATTAGTGATAAGGAGAAATATTGTTTTAAGTCTAGCTTACAATCGTGGACATAAGTATTTTGACACAGCTTATAGCTATATTCCAGCGCGTATATCTTAGTACTCGTAAAAGTTACGGGATCCATTTAACTTTCCAGTAAGAGATTATATTTAAAACTTTAAAAAAGCAAAAGATGTTTCTGATATGTAAATTGACTTCTTTGCTATGTCACATTATGTGAGAGATCATGAATTTTTGGGTGGACAAAAATATTTTGACATTGCATTCAATCAGTTCTTATTTGTTTCGTGCGCATTAAAGGACGTTGTTTGTTATTTATAACTCCAACTTATAAATCTTTTAGCAGCTTTAATACATTTTTTGTCAATTTTCCTAATTTCTGTACCGTTATTTAATGAAAATATGGGGAAAACACGGGAGCTAAGCCAAATCCAGCGAAACGAAATAATAATTAAGTACCACCCAGGTATTTCGGTCCAGAACCTCAGCATATTTTATGAAGTACCCCGTCAAACAAAATTAACAAACATAAACTGACAAATTCGACGAATAATTTGGTCAGAAAAGGACGACCATGCAAAACTACGCCTAGACAAGAACATCTAATCTTTGCAAAATTTAAAGAACATGTCCTTATTAAACCAAACGAAGTTTCAATGGAAGTTAAAAACGATTATGATATTTTAATTAGTAAAAAAACAGTTGAAATATTATTTAAAGAGGCTAACTTTGCTACTTTGTGGCCCGTCAGATACCTTTCATTTCACCTAAAAATGAGTTGAAACGATTAGCCGATTAGGCCGCACTTTCTTGCGAATATTTTTTGGTAATCTGCAGTAAATTTCTTTTTTTTAACCATGGTACTCAAAAGAACTCTCATCGGTCCACAATTTGTTCCCAAAAGGATTTAGGCATGTTTAAAATTATTTGGCAAAGGCTAATCGTTTCAACTCATTTTTAGGTGAAATGAAAGGTATCTGACGGGCCACATTAGTAGCAAAGTTAGCCTTTTTAAGTCTTCTTTCAACTGTTTTTCTACTAATTTAAAAATCATAATCATTTTGAACTTCCATTGAAGCTGCTTTTGGTATAATAAGGACAATATCTTTAAATTTTAAAAGGATTAGACGATCTTGTCTAGGCGTACTCTTGCAAGGTCGCCCTTTTCTGACTAAATTATACGTCGAAATTGTCAGTTTATGTTTGTTAATTTTGTTTGACGGGGTATTTTATAAAATATGCTGAGGTTCTGGACCGAAATACCTGCTTGGTACTTAATTATTATTTCGTTTCGCTGGATTTGGCTTAGCTCCCGTGTTTTTCCCATATTTTCATTAAATAACGGTACAGAAATTAGGAAAATTGACAAAAAATGTATTAAAGCTGCTAAAAGATTTATAAGTTGGAGTTATAAATAACAAACAACGTCCTTTAATGCGCACGAAACAAATAAGAACTGATTGAATGCAATGTCAAAATATTTTTGTCCACCCAAAATTCATGATCTCTCACATAATGTGACATAGCAAAGAAGTCAATTTACATATCAGAAACATCTTTTGCTTTTTTAAAGTTTTAAATATAATCTCTTACTGGAAAGTTAAATGGATCCCGTAACTTTTACGAGTACTAAGATATACGCGCTGGAATATAGCTATAAGCTGTGTCAAAATACTTATGTCCACGATTGTATACCTGAAGAAAGAATCTTTTTTTCTATTCTATTCAAACAATTTGGAATTTGCAGAAAGTTTTCTTTACGCTAAATTGTAACTTCTGAAAGAACCATTATTTAGTGACAGTGTATAGGTGTCTTTATATTTGACTTTGAAATATGAATAGTGTAAACAAACATACATATGAATAGTGTAAATCAAGAAACCCCAAGTGTTTCTCCTTCTCTTCTCAAGCAACAAAAGTTGTCCGACAAATGCCGTTATTTTGGCCAGAGCAAGTTGCCAAAAAGGATTTGTTATTTTGTGACCTTGAGGCTGCCAATCAAAGACATGACTATATAGTTTTTCATACAATCACGCAGCATACGCTAAGTATATACACATGTGTTTGTGTTTTTATGGACTTTTTTGTGCGTTTTGTTTTTCATGAGAAAATATATGGACCACTTACAGTTTAATGAGCAAACAAAGCAAGCAACAACAACAATATTGGGCAATTAAACGGAAAAAATTGATGAAATGACAAAAGATTTCACTTCAGAGGAGAGGAGCACTGAAGAGAAGTAAAGAGAAAAGAACACTAAACGAGTCGTTGACATGTAAAGTGACAATTGCAATTACAATAAAAATAAAAGTAAGAGTGGAAATGAAATGGGAAACGAATAAATATTCTTTTTCTTTTAGCAATAAAGATATGTGCAATACCAGCGGGAAATACAAAGGGTATATAAATTCCCAGCAACAAGTGCGGATGAGTCAGCGATTTATTGGAAAATGCACTCAGGTTCATTTAAAAAAAAACAAACACTTTTGGGCTTTTTCAAGAAGAAAGGGAAAATCGAGATATTAAAGCAAAGAGAGACAAAAACTCTCTTAAGCTCCGCAAATAGCTCTCAAAATTTGAGCTTGACGCTTCTGCGGCCTTAGCAAGCTCATAGCTCATTCTCTCTACGACGCTCGCGCGATACGCACGGAATAACTGTGAAAGCTGTCAGCGGCAACAAAGAAATCCACGAAAATAAAACAATAATAATACAAAAAAATTAAAAACGGAATTCGGTACTCAGATTTTGACGTGAAACTCTGCCAATAACTCCGGAATATGGTTCCTTAAATAATATATATAAAAACAACGCGAATCGTTATTCCAAGTAAAGGCAATGGACTAAAGGTCAACATTTTCTAGGCGATAAAAAATAAAGCATGCCGCCATACATACGATTATATATGTACATATATATTGTACCCAGTAATCAACAGAGAGTGACATGAAATGGAATTAAAACAAGCGCTTAACTTAGTACTCGCAACTCGGGGAATCAAGTGCTCCTCCCTCGAAAATCAAAAACATCCAAAATTTGTAATTGGCTTAGTCATTTTCGGTTTTTCTATTCCTATAAATTATGTAAAAAATCTTCAAGAACTCATTATCTTTACGTTCCTTAGAAAAAAAAAAAAAAACGACAATTAGTAATCAAGTTTCCCCAAACCAAAGTTCACAGTTTAACATACCGATAGAAATACTGAATTAATTGTATAATCTTAATTAGTGATTATAATATGTGAATATTATTAAAGAAAGCCTTATTCATTGTTAGTATAATTCACAATGCTTTTGTCTGTTTTATAAACAAAGTTTATGGCCCACATTATCTGTTTAAATCAAAAAAGTTCCAGTGACTCAATTCATATAAAAATATCACCAGTTTTAAATATGCCATGAAATAAATTATTATTAGTAACAAGAAGTAATTTATTAAATAAATCGATTAATTTTTAAGAACTCCAATAACTATTATGTGAATCAAAATTTTAGTGTAGGAAAAATGAAAACAATAATCAAGAAAGAGAGCAATTGGAATTACAATTGGAAACTGATAAGATTAGGAATAACGGCTAAACATCAAGCTAAACATCGGAGAGATTAAAGACGAGGCAGAGAGCCCAGATAAAGGAGGCGACAGGTCTGGCGCCTGAGAGACTAACTCCCACTCTCTCGTGTTCTCCCAGTCTGTCACTCTCTCTTAAGCACACACGCATGCAGTGGCGTAGATATACATTTTTGGGGGTTTTTAACATCTTTAAGTGATGTAAAAATCTATTTAAGACATAAAGCAGGTTATCTAAAAAATTTCTCAATGAATGGTTTTGAACCCCCCAAATCCATACCTTTCTGACTACGCCACTGCCAGCGCGCTCACCTGTTCAAAATGTTCGCTGCATTTGTTCGCGATTTTCTTATTTCGCTCATTTAAGAGCCGACTTGCGAATGGAAATGTTCGTGCGAACGGAGTGAACAAATTGCGAAAAATAAATTTAATAACTTTTGGCAAAACTCAAACAGCCGGCAAACCCAATAAAAAGTAAATAAGCAAATAATTCCAAGTGAATAGTGAAATACGAAACAGCACATGCTGAATGAATAAAATAAATCTATTTATATATAGCTAAAGCAAAATCAAAGAAAATGAAATGAGACTCACCAAATAAACATAAATATTAGAACAAACAAACCTTGCAAAAACCCAGTGAAATCGTTAAAACGAAACAAAGGGCTCAGCGCCAGCGAATAAACAAATAATAAATCATAATGCACGTGTATTACAAATTTGGATTACTGCTGATATTCTTGCTAAGCGTAAGGTAAAAAATCAATTTCCAATAAATATTTAAAATGAGAAAAGCCCTAGACGACATCATTGTTAAACAAAAGAAAAATTTGAATTTCCTATTTGAAAAGTGACGCAGGGTTGGTTGGGATTATTTTAATAAATTTGTACTTGATAAAAGATACAGAAAGCTCCGAAAAGGGAGAAATAAAATAAATAAAACAAAGTACAAAGTTTCCATTGAGAAATGCTCACAAGTGATTAATTCAACTCGAATCGGAATACCGACAGGTGAACCCGTACAACGGGACTTTGACCCGCTCACTGCTTGAGATACCAATGCCGAACGGAATGCTCACGCAATTGGCTTATAAAATAATAGCAAACTTTTTATTGATAGACCTCGGCAACAGCTCCTCTAATTGCATGAGTTTACACTCTCTATGCCTAATCGTATCGCGATCGCATAATCTGATAAAAATAATAACAATATGCGCTTGTCCAATCATTTATACCATTATTTCTTATCATATGAGTGCTTGCTCATTGATATTTGCTAGGGAGTCGCTAAATTAGAGGGCACGTAAATATCGATCGAACCATTTGAAAATAGCACAGAAATTTACAACTGTCTCGCTTTTCCTGTTGTTAGCTAAGAATTTACGACTCAGATTTGGCTTAGCCTCACTTCCTTTAGCTAGGGTACACAGAAAAAACATAAATAAGGTGATATTTTGTGTACTTTACGAAAAGATATTCAATTATGATTTAACCCAATCAGTAAACCAATATTTATATAAAAAATATTATTTTATATCATCTTAGTAGTGATTTAATACCACCATTTACTTCAGTGTAGCGAACGACTTTTGTCCTATTGATTTTTAGGCATTTTCTCCTTTTCCATTCACTTAAAATGCTTTTAAGTGCCGCATCCAATTTAAAACATTTCACTGTAAGTAGTCAAGGGAATTAAATCGCAAGTTGACTAGGTCGTCATGCTTAGTTACAGTTTATGATCTTTCGTAATAAAGGTAAACCTGCAGTTAACTGAAGCCTGAAGGCAATTGGGTAATATTCGATTTTAATATCTTTATTAGTCGGTAGAAATATACTATCCATTTCTTATCGCTACTACACTTCAGATATAAGCTTCGGTTCCATATAAAATCGGTTATTCGGTCTAATTTAGCACTTTTATGGCCTGACAAGTATCTTCAACAGTCATTGAAACTTCACTCAACTGTCACGCAATTGAAGAGACTTCTAAATGACATTTTTAAGACGCACTTGAACTACTGTTCCATCCATAAAACCCCCAACCAACTAGATCCGAAGTCGCCAAAAGCAGGATAACGAACGATTTAGAATCAGGCGACGCTGAACCACAGAAAGCAAAAAATAAACAAATGGCAAAAGTGAGAGTAACGAAAACGTAAACTAAAAACCGGTCAAGTTGTCTCTTTTGCCATGACGTAAACGGGTTTTGTCTGTCTCGTTTTTACAGTGATTATACAGTGCATATCAGGAGTATAAGACGATTTTCAAGAGCATTTCAGTAAATGTGAATTTACAATTTAAAGAATTTACATAGTACACGTAATTGTTTTAAACAAATTACAAATTATAAAAAAAAAGTAAATTTATTTAAAAATTGCTTAAAACCTTTTACATTAAAAATGAGCATTAACTATATAATATAAATTGTTTTAAATTAACATAAATCAATTTTTAGAGGACCTTCTATTGTTTTTCATAGTAGCTTATAAACTCTTTCTTCGCTTCAATGAATGAGCTGTAAATTTGGCCACAGCTGTATGTAGTAATACGTATGTTTTTCAACATATGTACATATATTCATTCATGCTCTCTGCCGGACCAAACATAAACAAAAGCGTATAATGATAGTGGGGAAACCGGAGACGCCGACACGAGCAAAATTATCACGAATATGTGTGCTTGAGTGAGAGACGATGGCGTGGCTATAATAAAATAGGTCAAGAGCGTTTTCAGGACAAATTAGCGAGGTGTGTTTGCCTTCAAGACACGAATGATGTAAGCGCGTTCTGCTTAGAACTGCCAATCTAAAGCCAAATATTGACAGTTTTTTGGGGTTTTTTGGTAAAACGACTTTACAAACTTGTCAACTAATTGCTGTATACGTAATGAGTTTTACCTTTTTTAAGCAATTTGTTTTTTTTTTTCATTTGATATAAAAAGATCTTATTGTTGTTTATTTTTTAGCATTAGCCACACGAATGCCGCTCCGGCGGGCAGCGAGGAGGCAAAGCTATTGCCCAACACCGATGACGATTATGACTATAATGATGATGACTACAGTGACGAAACGACAGACAAGGAAGTGCCAGAGACGGCAGAAAATAGACTGATGCCAGAATTATCCTCCTCATCGACCACAACTACATTTCGACCAATATTTAGTAAGTCAAGGAGTTTAATCACTTGCTTTAAATATATCCATAATTCAAATTGATCCTTTTGTAGATATACCACGACGCAGTAACCATGTCCTGGAGCCCAGTTGTCCTCGCAACTGCCTTTGCCTGGAGGACTTCAAGTACGTTCAGTGCACGAACGCGCATTTAACTCATGTTCCCCTGGATTTGCCCAAAACGGCGGCTATTATTGATTTGAGCCACAATGTGATTGCCGAACTAAGACCCGAGGATTTTGCCAATCTCTCAAGAGCAGTGGAAATCACTCTAAACCACAATTTGATCAGTAACATAGACAAGGAGGTGAGTTGTGGAGCTATATTTTCTGTTACAATCTGAAAGAGGTGTCTTTAGTTATATATATTTTAATTAATTTAATTAATTTACTTAAGAAATAATACTACAATCTTTAATTTTTCAGGTCTTCCAAGGCTCGGAGCGTTTGCAGCGACTGAGATTGGCCAACAATCGCCTTACCAAGATCGATCCCGACACCTTTTCCGCCGCCAAGGAGTTGATACAGCTGGATTTGAGCAATAATACGATTACCCAGCGACTGGACGGCTCCTTCTTGAACCAACCGAACTTGGTCGAATTCAGTTGCTCTAACTGCAGCTGGACGGAATTACCGGAGCAGACGTTCGAAAACATGAGTGCGCTGCAAGTACTCCGGCTGAACAACAACGATTTCAAACAGGTGAGCAATCGAGCGCCAAAGTTATCGCACTATCGTTAGAGTCGGCTTCTCCTGCTTGCTATCGTTCTATCGACAGTTGGCGCAGCCCCAACACAGCTGAGAGTGCTCCCCAACACCATATAGTCGTCCCACTCTGGCTCACAGTATGTTTTTCTCTTTTTCACTTGACAGCAAATCAATACGAGAGCTTTCACGCCGCTAAAAAATTTAATTAAACTGAAGCTGCCGGAGCTGGACCAGCCCAACATCGAGGAGCTGTGTAACTTGCTCAAGTCCATTGATAACATCAGCTTCCGGCACTTTGATGTCAGCTGCTACGAGCTCGTTCTGGGCACCTCCTTCAACGAGAGTCTGATTACGGCCACGGATCCGCCGTTCATTCGTATTACGAATCTGCCCACATTAGCCACCAGCACAGCGAAGCCAGCCACCGGAACTCCAGCACCGCCACGAACGGGTAAACAATGGTGGGATCGGATTAAAAATCATCATATTAATACTGTCTATTTTGGGTGTAACAGCAACTCGCAATCGGGGCAAAATGGCCAACAGCACAGATGTGGTCAAGGCCGGAATCTTGAGTTCGGTGACCGAGAGCAACAGCGGGGACAGTGTGGAGACGTCCACCGAGAAGGAGAAGCCCTACCAGGTGCCCATTTCCCAGGAGGCCATCAACACGTTGCTAATCTGTGCGTAAACTAGGTTTAAATTGTTCTTAGCTATTAAGTGTCAGTTATTGAATTTTTACTAATATTGTCACTCCCCCTTTTAGGCATCATGGCTTTGGCCGTGATTGGCATTGTCATTGGCCTCATTTGCCGCAAGGACATTGGCGGCATCAAAACCAAATGCTGCCGCACTAGCAAACCAAAGGAGCCAAAGGATCAGGTCCATCCCACTGAGGAGATACCATTGAATAAGCTAGCCTAAGAGAACTTTCCAAAACAACAACATCCAGAAGAAAAGAATCCTATCCTCCAGTTTTCAGAACAAACCAATTCCATTTTGGCGGCATTTTTGCTAGATTATAAATAGATCTAATTGGATAATTAGTTAACTACTTTGAGTCGCCTTTAACTGACGTCACACCTAATTGTAGTTTCTTCTCCATTGTTCGTTCGCCCGCACAACCACCAGGAAGTTAATTCCCAATCCTTTTGTTAGATTCTAGTTGTTAGTCGGAGTAGGTTAAGCTGCCTGCCTAGTCGCTTAGCGTTCTTTTCTTTAGGGGAGCTTGGGAAATGGGATCCCACACACACCAAAAACATATGGCACACACACCGCGCACACACACACTCCTGGCTCTGTCCTAGGTCTAGTTTCAATAAGAAAATTTCCATCGCAACACTTAAATTAATGTAACACCTAGATAACATTAGTTCTTAGAGCTGACTTTAGCTATATAAATGTATAGACTTTTGCCAAAATACAATAAAAATAATTATTGTAAATAGTAAGCAATGGAAAATGTGTTTTAGAAAGATAACATTACTTTAGATATGATTATTTACTTAAGATAAAGGGAAAAGGGGACATCTGTGTTTATGTATGCTTCGTTATCTTTGTTTACTGAAATCAGAAAACCCTCTCTGGTCCAGCGGACATATTCCGGAAACCCGACACCTGATAACCTTGCTTGATATCCCACACTTATCCTATCATATATTTATCCCCAGACAACAGACAACAAATTAAGCAACGTGTAAACATCGTAAAATATTGGCAAGATAAATAAACAAGCAGTAGCCAACGAATTGTGGGAAAAACGGAATAGAATAGCACGTGGCCGAGAACCAATAAAAATCATCAACACAGCACAAAACGAACCGATTAATTTCGGGGAAACGGAGGAGTCTCTCCGGTGGCCAACAAATTAGAATACCAGCACAGGGGCAAAGTAAACATGGCGAATGGGGCCAAAGTCAGGCGATCGAATTGTGTATCAACGGCTGAATGGCAGATGAAACACTCCCTATCGCTACACCCCTATCTCGCAGCTCCACCTATGAATGTATGTTTGTTATGTCGATGACATGCAATCGCGTGGCCACAACAATGTGGCTATTGGAAGCCAAACTAAAAACAAAACAAAAAAGCAACAGATTAGGTTTATTTTGAAAGCACCATTACCTTAAGTTAGAAACTTTTTTGAAAATACTCTTCATACGATTGAAATATATTAGAAAATATCTTGTTTCCTATAGAACTGGTTTTTGGTTTTACTGAAGTCCCAGAAAGCATTTTTGGACCAAGCTGTATCCTTGTTAAGACTTAAGAGAGAACTTTTAACAATAATCTGGGAAAACGACATTTAATGGATTATTAAACTAATAAAAAAAAAATAATAGCCCCTATTAAATCGTATAAATTGCATCTTGACATTAAAACATAAGCTAATTCCTTGTTTGTTGCAAAAGGTATTTGATAAAACTTATAACTTAAAAAAAACTTATCTATAAAAAAATGTGTACCTATTGTTAAGATTTTTTACATTAGTTTTATTACCCAAAACTAATTCCCTTTCGAAATTCTAGGGTATTTTGTAAGAAAACAACCCTATCCAATCTTATAAGTGAAAATTCTCGCAAAAAAAAAACAGGAGGAAGCTAATTCTCGTGCCACGGGCATTTGACCTAATTTCAAGATAATAGATTGTATATAAACAGCGCAACACTGGCCGCTAAAAGTACGCAAACACCTGTAACCCAAATTAAGTTGAACAAACTTGAGGTTAAATATACATTTGGTATCCAAGGTGCGCTTGTATGGGTGTAAATCAACAAAATGCGTTTTAACAAAAACAGAAACGATGAATAAACCAACAATAAAAATAAGAGGAAAACAAAGAGAAAAAGTAAATGGTAGCATAACGTTTGTTGGGATTTAGATAACCTAATTTATATTAATTAAGGCCATTAAAAATACTAGTTAAAAGTGTGTGCTACAACTTATATAAATAGTTTTCGTTCGTCAATGAAATATTTAAATAACCACGTACACATTCCTTAGAATCAATCAAGGCACAACTCTTTGTTTAACAAGGAATATAAGCTTACTTAAGGAGGTTACGAAAATTATTAAAGATATAAACTTTTAAGATACAGGCATTCATAAGTAGCAAGCATTCGACGCCAATCGGCGGCTTTGGCCGTTCTATTCCCACTTTATTTTTGTTTACGAATTCATTTCGCAACTTCCGCAATTAATGGCGTAGCATTTTGGTCAAAAGGTGGAGGTCTGTAAGAGGAGGAGGGCACCGGGGTAGTCATTCAGTGGGAATGACGTGAACCTGGCCGACGTGCACTTTACTTTACAATTCCCACCCCCCACAATCAACTGGACTGAGTCAGACTCACACACGTTTTAGCCATGAAAGCATTTAATATTTATGAATCTCTCGCCGCTCTTTGCGGTTAGCTTAATGTTAATGTTAATGCTAGCTCGCTTACCTCCATGACCAGGCTGACGCAATCCTGCGACTCCTTGCAGTCCAGCAGAGCCACCACATTCTCATGGTGCAGCTCGGTGAGCTCCTTCAGGATCTTGATCTCCTTGCCAAGCAGGTTTTGCGTCTTCAGCTGCCCCTTTTTCGTGATGCACTTGATGGCCACCGGCATGTGTTTCTATAAAAACAGAAAAGAGAAAGAAAAGAAGGAAAACATTTCATTAATACTTAATCGAGGGTTAGTCACTCCAAAGTCATTGAACGGGCAACCGAATTATAAACCAAAGTCAACGAAATGAATCAATTCACTCGCTTTGGAATTCGATTGACACAAAATTAGCAAAAAACAAAACGCATTGAATACTTGGGTTAAGGTATCGCCTTTTTGGATTGTTTTGAATCGGAAGCACAAAAGGGGATTGTTTGTTTGGGAATGATGTGCATATTGTATGGCCTAAAAATAAAGTTATTTATCGGTCATTTACTTAAAAAGCTATTTAGAGTTTTACTTGTGACTTCAAAGGTTTTGTTTATTGTCTTTTTTATTACTTTAATTTTGGTTTTATGCGTTAGATTATTTAAATTTCAAATAATGAAAATTTATTGAATCTATGTAATTATTTCATTAGCTTCCCAAGTTTCACTTTCCCGGTTAAATAAAATGTCTTTTTGGTAAATTGTTCTGTCTTCTCAGGTCCCTGACCTGTCTACTGCGAAAAGTGTATAGAGAGACGCGTTCCTAGAGAACTCAAACGAGAACTCCTGCTGCTCCAATCTAAATCCCATAATCTGCGCATCCAGCTGTTGCCATAAATTTGCCTTTGAAATGTTTACATTCTCCTTGGGCAAAAGCCTTTGGCCTGCTTCAATTAGCACGCACCGAAACGGGGAAATGCCGGAAAATGCAAATCGTGATCCCAGAAGCGACGGCCCCGGCAACGTGTTGGAGGGTCTCGCTCGGTTAGTCGTTATTATTAGATACGCAAAAACGCATTCAACCGGCAGGCAGACCGAAAGAGGCCGGGGGAAAGCCCATAATTGCGGTGAATAAGATTGTTTACTCGAGCGCTTGTCGAGTGACGAACTTGGCCGGGACTTGCAGCCCCAGCAGCTAACGGGTTGAGTTAACCGGCTGAATCGCTTCACTGATAAGGCCCGACGGACGTCGTTTAGTGCACCTCGAGGCCCTGCTCCTTCACCCCGTCGATTTCTCCTGGATATGGTCACCTTATTTGCTTTTTACTTAGCAGGTGACAATGACTCTTTGTCTGTGTTTGCTCGCTTCGCCGTCTGCCTCTGGCTAAAGCTCACAACAAAAGACGAAAGTGTAAATTTAAACAAGTTTGCCTACTACAAGGAAGCACAAATGTGAATAGTGTTGGCTATATACAGTATCGAATGGGTTTTATCCTATTAGAACATGGATTCAAAATAAAAATCTAGTTTTGCCAAAATAAATCCATACGAATATTTGATTGTGTTGACTTTATTCATTTTTAAGTATACAGCTTTTAAACATACAACTAGTGGGTGCCTTTGTAGCCGGACACTCTTTAGGTTTCCTCATGGAATATCGTATCACCTCCCTGTGTTCACGTGTTGCTTGAATGGAAATGACAATCGATATGTTCTCTTAACCCTCATAATCTCTCGCTGTATGTTATTTATACAATTTACATTTATTTCTTAATATTCTTTTTCTGCAAGCTGCACTTAAACAAGCTATTCTTGCAGCTTCTGACCGATAACAGGGCCCATGCACTTTTGTTTGTTTGTTTGAGAGACAATCTTGAAGTGAGTTCAACTGCATCTGTTGTTAAGCCTCAGCCGGTGTTTGATGGATGCTGAACCTGAGACCTCCACGAGATTACAGAAGACAATTGGTGGTAAGTCATTACATACTAATAAGAATACATAGAAAAAAACCAAAATAAAACTATACTAATAACAAAGCAACAGTTCATTTTCTTTCACAAAACCTTACTTCTTAAAATGACTTTGCAATATCAAAAAAGCCTGAATGGCGTACGTTTTAACTCTCATTATATTTAGCCTTTTACGTCACTCCATTATATTCCGTTTACCTTCTATATTCGCCGTCTAAGATAATAAAAACGCTTGAGATTAGATTACCCATAAAAATAAAAACAATTGCGGACACCGGGCAGCGGAAGCCGAGGCAGTTCTTGACCCAATCACCTCAATCATCCAAGCGAGCTAGCGAAAACTGTGTCAAAAGCGAACGGGAAAGTGGCCCGCACCTGGCACCTCGAGGAAAATGGGAAAACTGGGAGAGAGCGACCTCCGATCCCGGAGATCTCCAAACCCCCAAAAGGTGCAGCGAGGTTAGTTGGATATTTTTTCATCAATCAACAACACAAAAAACACCCAAAAAGCAGGGAAAAGGTTCAACGAACTGGAGAGGCTCGATAAGGCGAGGCAAATTTGTTATTTTGTGTGCTGTCTTAGGTGCAACGGCCCCTCAACTAACAACAAGAAAGGAAAACATTTCTTTTGGCCAAAAATAGCTAACAAAAAAGATAATAATTGCGCAGAAAATGCGAGAAAGAGTGAAGCCAGAGACAAAAGCGAGCAAGAAAAAAGTGCATCACCTCATCCACAGGCTAGGCCAAGCCGAGTATCGTCGTATCTGATGGATACAAACAACTTCAACTGGTTTGGCGGGTGAAAATGTAGCTCTGGTCACCGCCGCTGCCGTCAACTTTGCAAACAAATCGCGGAAATTCTCATTTTTTTGCGACGCAAAACTTTTATTTCAATACCGCATAATTTACGCCTGATCGAATCACACGTCGGCCGGCTAATTTATATAGAATACCACCGATCTGGAGCTGAGAACATGCCAAACTAGTTTGTGTGAGTAATACCTTGGATAATTGGTATATTATGCTGGAAGATGTCTGGCGGCGGCATTTGCTGAATAATTTATTGGTTAATTTCAAATTTGTTTCTGTCTGCACGTGTTTAACTTGTTCCCATCATCACGAATTAGAAAGGTGATTTCGAGTTTATGGGATGGGTTTCTTTTGTTTTCGATGTCTAGCATTCGACTTCCGTTTATTTGAATTTAGATACAAATAAAATTAAAGGTTTCACAGATTCCTTAAACAAACTTTAAACTGTATTTGTACTAAACCTATTCTAACTCTTTCAAGATATAATTCACAAATGGTTCGTGTTATGAAAACTGATAACGAAAACAGTGTCAAGATTCCATTTAAATGAATTGAATTGATTCCAGCTAGCTCTGAAATTACAGGCTTTTTAAAAATACTAATTAAATTTGTAGAAAACACTTGCTAATCATTTAAATAGGGGCCTGCCCAGAAGCTTCATTTAAAAATTGATTATAAAGCCATTTAAATCACTACCACATAACAAACTCAACGATTAGACCGATCCCTATCTATCTCAATCTCAATCTTCCTCAAGATGCATTTTCAAAGCCAAATGCAGCAAATGAAGTAAGAGACGGTGACAAAATCAAATGCAAAATGCAATTGCATTTTTGCTTTGGACAAACAAAGTGAAATGAATATGCAAAGGCCTCAAAACGAGAACCGAGAACTGATTGCACAATAGAGCTCTGTGGCTGGAGGGGGCGGGCGGTCTGGAAATACAATAAACATTACACGCGCTTAGAACGTAATTTTTGCATGATTCCGCCGTAGCCAGCTTATGCAATTGGCGGGCGATAAAACGGAGCGTTCGTTCTGTGAAATATGGAAACACGTGTCGTCTGGTTTTGCACATGCCGTCGTATCCGCCAGATAAAGATTGATGGCTTCATTCATGATAGTAAAAATGGAATCTAACCAGACAGTCCGTACTTGGCACTGCAGCTGACATTTATTTTTGGATTCGGATCCTCTGCAGAGGATTTCCTTTTCGAGTATCTTACGGGTATGTATCTCTTGGCGCTGCACATGTTAAAAACACACACAGACTAGTTCTTCGACTATTTTTAGCGAATGTTCCGCTGCCGCTGAGCACGTGCAGACAAAAGATACATTTCTGGAGATACAAATGCCAAGCACTCCGCATTGCCTTGTCCTTCGAGCTGCTTAAGTAACCCAAGTGATTACGGCGATGTTAAGTCATGGAAAGAAATCGAAAACCGGCGTAGCTCCCACAAACCAGTTAAGCGTAATGGCCATAAAAGGAAAGACGCGGGAAGTAAAGTCTGCTCAACTCGCATTCCGACTCTTGTCGAAATGGATTCAATGGTCTAAAGTAAAATAAATAGATACACATAGGTATTTTAAACTATTATTAAGATAATAAAAGGAACAGTCCTTTGTTTAATAATCAAATCAAATTCAAAACCACGGTTCGGGACTTGACTAATATCTGAGGTGAGAGCGAGCGAGATAGAGATTGAAGGTTTAGACTTCTCCTATAACTTCCATGGGTATCCCCCACGGTCAAAATTTCTAAAAACATCTATCACAAGTGTATTTATAACAATCTATTTGCTTTTAACCGGATACAAATGCTTACTCTGCGTGCAAAAATTAGGTAACTCTAGGGCTCTTTCTAGAATCCAAAAAATTTTTTACTTATAAAAGGCATAATAAATCGAATGACAAAGGTAATGTAATAAATTCAAGTAACTTCAACAAGATACCAGTGATCACTTTGGGGTTTTCATTACATGATTAACGATCATAAATTTAACAAGCCATGGCGGGTCTCTACTGTTAAAAAAAAATAAATAAATAACTAAATAAAAGAAACGTCAGACGGAAAAAAACCAAAATTAAATCGACTTTCGATACAGATCACTTGTGAATAAAGGGAAGAAAGAGAGGCCATTAATGACAAATCTACGGTGACAGAGATGGAAAGGTTGAGGGTGACAGAGAGGGTCTTACGTCGGTGTCTAGATGGAAAAGAGACAAGTGAGTGGTGGTGGTGGTGTACGTGTGAACCGATTGTCCCATTGTTATTGTTATTTTTGTCGTCACACTGCATTTGTAATTAATAATGTGATTTTATTTACACAGACGCGACGAACTTGAGCAATTTAGAAAAAAAAAAAGGAAAACAAGAAAACAAAAGTTGATAAGACCGATTTTTTCTTTGCTTTGTTGCACTAATGAAAACACGATCGTCGAACGAGAAAAACAGAACACACTGAATGTTTTGCGAATGATATGAGCAAGATAATTTTGTTTTGGCTTGATCATATGGAAATTCAAGTAGGTACATATATATTGTGTATAAGGAGATGAACACCCATATGTAGGTGCGTGTTTTTAATGGATATACACACAGATACAGAAAACAGCTGATGCAATAACTGGCAGCTGTTGCTGCTTCAAAAAGCTTTTCACTCTCTGCTTGTTTTCTGTTTTGATTTGGTTTTTTGTTTTGCTTATATGTATATTGAATGAAACACGAAAAAAGGCTCATTCATATTAATGATCAAACCATTTAGGATGCCCAACTATTTTTATAGATGCATGTTGAATTGTTTATGAGCTGAGCTTGTGATAACAGTTGCTTGACCTGAACGCTATTTGACTAACTGGTTAAGCCTGATGACAATTAAAAGTATATTATAATGATTAAATGAAGGATTTATTAGCTTATTAAGACATTTGTATAAACTTTTAATGATGAAGTCGCTTGAGAAGATGAAACCAATAAAAAGGCATTTCAGCTTTGAGTATCAGACCGAGTCATTCTTTTGTCACATTCCTAACTTTTACACAAGTCGCAAAATCTATAAATTTATCATGTTATATAAACTTTTATTATTATATATTTTTTCTTATTTACTTCGAAATACCGATAAGAATTTCTCACTCCCTTTAACTGAAAAAAAAACGAGCCTAGCAATTGTTTAGAATTAATTATTTCTGCCACGACCCTGAAATAGTTCAAAAGCACTTCTATGGCACACACTTATGCCATACACACATATTTTTCATACGCCATGGTGTCTGTATATAAATAATACGTAGATATGCTTCTGCTGGGGCTCTCGCGAAAAGAAATCGCTCCAAAGCACGTGCGTGTGCCAGCAGCTCAACCGAAATTCGCTTAGAAAAATAGGAGGGGAACGCACAAGGCAATAGAAAATAAACAATAGAAAGACGCAAATTTTAAGGAAAACAAAACATACATATAACCACGCCTGAACAACAACAAAGGGCTGTGATTTTGCTGGACTCTCTCGCTCAGCAGTAGTTCAATTCGGTTTTGCACAGTGGAAGGCGAAATATTTAACTTGGTTGCTAATAATAAGGTGAAATTATGGTTAAAAAGTTTTATAAAATAAATAAAACCATACCTTTTATGAGGGATTTAGTAATATATGAAAAAATATAGTAAAATATGTTTAATTTGAGTAAATAAATATGGGATATATAACGCATTTCCGAAATAATTAGAAATTCTGAATTATGTACATGAGTCACCATTTGATGTGAAATGTATCCTGTACCAGAACTTTTTCCACCAGGTATATGGACCTTTTTCACTATCGAAAATATCGGTGATAAACCCTCGAGCTACGTCTATGTTTATAGAACCCTCTTTCCCTAACCAGCTGATTCAAATTAATATAAATCACATCACATTTTAAATTTAAAAAAATAAACTAATATTTTATGCGATTTCTTTAACGTGTTAACTTTTTTTGCACTGTGATCAGCTGATTTTTTTTTTAAATTTCGCGACATTTGCCGGATTCTTTTAGGCTTTATTTTTTGCCTTTGCCGCTGCGGCGACATATCGTGTTTACCTTTGACAATGGCGCATTGTTAATAACTTTAACGTTTTCTGTTGTTGTTGATGTTGTTTTACAAATGCGACCAAGCCCCACATTAAAATGAAAACAATAACAAAGCGCCGAATCAGTCGTAAAAAACAGGTTAATAATATGACGGAATTGTAAGCGTCGGAACGGTGAGATTGTTGTTGTTTTGTTATTATTTTTGGGATCTTACCTTGCGATGACGTCCCTTGTAGACGACGGCAAAGGCGCCGTGGCCAAGCATATCCTTGGAGCTGTATTCATATTCCCCGACAATATTCATTATGCGAGGATGCGACGCCTGGATGTCCTCCCTCCGTTTCCGTCTTCGTCTTCGCCTCCGCTTCCCACTCTCCCACTTTTACACCCCCTCACACGGACACACTCACACACTTGCACGCACGGCTGTTGGCTCTTCCTCTGCTTTACTTTGCTTTTGCTTTTGCCTTTGGCTTTGCCTTCCAATTGCAATTGTGGAAAATCAATTTTTTTCTTTTCAACGAATGGTGGGCACTTGGCGATCTGCTTTTCACGTAACGCGCGTCTGCTTGGCCTGTTTGGTCACCTGGTGGCTGGTGGCCAGAACGACATTAACGGCCACTCACTCGAATTTCACTTGTAATTGAATTAATCTGTGTCTTTTTTAGCTCTCGGCCGTGTGTGATTGTGTCGGTTTTCAGTGTGGTATTGGTTTTAAATTGCGCCCCCACACCGCACAACACAGGATTGATTGCACACCCACACACACACACGCACGGACGCCCTCGATCGCCTCGGTTCCTTTCTGGCTTTGTCAATTTCAGATCTTGGTCCCAGCGAAAAACTTTGCAAAATTCAATTTTCCAACTGCTTCGCCAGAGAGACTAGTGGAAAGAGGTAAGACGAAAACACGATTGAGAGAATTGGAGGTGGTGGGGATGGCCAGTGTTACCAGTCGTGCAGAGGAGAAAGAAACCACCAGGTTAGCAAAAATATCGAAGCTACCAATGTACTTAAACTTAATAATTCTAATTAATTAGTTGATTTACTGTAATGGGATTTCTGATTTTAAAACAATATTAATCAACTTGCTATAATTTGTTAAAGTAAGCGATATAAATTAAAAAAAGTATAAATGTGAAATTAGTATTTTCAAATATCGTTAAGCATTTTCTGCCGATAGTTTCACCAACGGGGTTTTTATGTCTCCGCCTGGTAACACTGACTTCACCATTGTGCATTCGTAGAGGGAAGAATCAGAAAAACATAAGGAAAATCCGGTTAATTTATAGAAAGCGCGGTGAAAATAGTAAAATACTATTTGCGCGGCAGCGCAATTGCTTCTAATTAGCATAAAAGGTAAGCATCTCCACTAAATAGGCGAACTACCACAAGTTCTTGAGTTCCGAGTTTGTGGATACATAGTGCATAGATAACAAGAGAAAAGGGGAGGAGAAGGTGAAGACAATGTAGAACGTGGACTGATTCGAAATTGTTGTGTCTTGCAGAAATCGACCAGTTGAGCTGAAATAATGAGTGCGTCGAGCGAGGGCGGCGCGGGAGGAGGAACGGTGGGTGGCGGCGGCGGAAGTACAGCTACAGCGCCATCAGGTATGTTGAACGATATCCAAGTGGAATGTATACATACATATTTATATACTCGTGGAATAAACCCTGTATTAGCATTGTGCGATTGTGTGCGTATGTATACATAACATTTCAGCGCCTCTCTTTTGCTCTCTCATACGCGCACTGTTTGTTTCCTATTCCTCTTTCTGCCTTACTTTCGCAGCACTGCTGCTCTCAGTGTGTGTATGTGTGCTTTGTTGTTACTGTGCATTCGTGGCAGGGTTGCCAACAACCCCGTAATTGTTCTGATGATTTTGTGTAGTTTCAAAAAGTGGATAATTTCGATTTAAAAATCCATATATTCATCGTTTTTGTACGTCCATCGTTTGTGTGTTCCATTGGGAACTTTTAATAAAAAAAAAATCTCACAGAAACCCCACACTGCCCGCCCGCACAGCCCCCCTGAAAACCATTAAGATACGCACCCAACAACTGCATCCCCATGCACTGCCATCGTTGTCCTTGCTGCATCCATCTTCATCATCGGTGGCGTCCGCATCCGCATTTTCATCCGCATCCCTGGTATCGCATTCGCATCCGCCACTGCAGCTGCGCGGCGTCATAAACAAGTACTCATTGCCATCATCCCATTTGCCATCCTCTGCAGCACACTCGGCGGTGGCCGCCAAGATCACTCACGTGAAGGCCGACGGCGGCGGTGGGATATCCATTTCCGGCACTCCGATCCTCAGCGCCGGAACCATCAAGGTGGCAGCAGCCAATCCCATCCAACAGGCTTCCCTGGCGGGCACACCGATTTCCCTGAATACGGGACAAGCCACCACGGCGGCCTCCATACGAGCTATCGGAGCTGGGGGCCAGTCCACGCAGGTCCGCGTCATGATGCCCATGATCAAGCAGCTGGAGAATGTCACAGCGACGGGAAGGACTCAGATTACTGCCATACCAGCTGCTCCAGCTAGGAGTGTCTCCAATGCTTCGATTACGGTCACCAGACCCGTGACACAGGCCTATCTGCCCCGAGCTAGTGTCACGGCCACCCAGATGGGCGGCGTTGGCGTGGGAGTTGGCCAGCGCTTGGTCACGCCTCTGCGAGCCACATCCTCGGCCTCGGCCACAGTGACGCCCGCAGCGCCCACGGGTTTAAGCACATCGGGCGGCTTTGTGCGCGGAGCAACCGCTTCGGTCAGCAGGAGTGGAGTGGCTGTGTCATCCCAGCCACCCTCCACGGTGATCTCGTCCAGCAACAGTGCCACTTGGATGCAGAGTCCAACGGGACAGGTGCAACTGATACGAGCCATCCATCAGCCGCGCCAACGCATCATTACCACGTCGGCTGGTGCCAGCGTGGTGACCACTGCTACTCCAGTGCCAGCGCCAACGGGTGAGTTTTTGCCTCAGTAATTTGCACAAGCACCTTTATTAATTGATTTTCATTTTGACAGCTTTATCGGTGTCTACTGGGCAGCCTCTGACACCCCAGCAGGCCACGGGTCCAGGCGGTCCTCAGGCTTATGTCGCCACTGTCCTGCCACAGAGACAGCACCAAGCCACGCTGGTGTACTCCTCCAATGTGTCGACGCCAAATGCCAATACAAATCCTGGCCAGCAATTTAATCCACGTTTTGCAGTGGCCACGCCCACCACAACGCCAGGGGGAACCACAGTGACGCCCCGGCAGGTGCGTCCCATACCACTGGGCAAGAGCTTTCCGGCGGCCAAGTTAAACACGACCAGCATCAGCATCAGGGCTCCGAGCATCCCGCAGCTAAATGCCAGCGTTACGCCATCCCAAACGCCCGTCAGCGTCTCCGGGGGAGCGACAGTGGCACCAGGCCGAGGACCTGGGGTCGGTGGAACTGCTCTGACGGCCACTAACTTGCACACCACGAGGATTATCCAACTGCAGCAGCCGGCGACGGGAACCACTCAGCAAATCATAGGATCTGCTGCCCGCCTGGCCGGGAATGTGATGCTTCAGCCTTTCGTGATGAGCACCACGGCAGCAGCCAAGATGGGTAAGTTGAAATCGAGGAGCTGATCCCTTAAATCTATTTCATTATAATTTTGCTGCAGGCATCCGACCACCTGTTACCATGACGGCCAAGGTGCAGCCATCGCTGACCATCACACAGCTTAATCCCATCGGCAAACTGTCCACAGCGGGAGGCACTGGCGGTCCCACAATGACGCCGCAAGGTGTGGCCAGCATTCAAGCGGTATCAGTGCCAAGTGTCTCGGCCAGTGTGGTCAATCCCAGCTCCGTGACGGGTGCCACATCAGCTGCTGGCGGAGCAACCGTTTTACCCCTGACCATCAGCGGCAGAGGAGGTGCAGTTGGTCCAGGGGGGAACATCCTAACCGGTACACTGACGCCCATCAAGAATGCTAGCGGTGGCATCAAGATGATGATGACGCCGGCTCCCACGGCGGCTGCACCAGGCTCGGAGGGACCGGGTAATACTGGACCAGCAGTGGGAAGTTTCCAGCGTACCTGGAATCCGGTTGTGGCTTCACAGAGTCAGCTAATGAAGGTGCGTTGTCGCTTAGCTCTCAATCTCGTATCTCTTACGTGTTCTCATTTTACTTTCTCTCTCAGATCGATGATAAGGGAAGTGCTGCCACAATCTACTACGAATCCATGCCGGCCTCAGCCTCCACGGGGGTTCTATCATTGACCACCACCACGGTGACGCAGAGCACGCAGGCACAGCCGCAGTTGGTGAGCAGTGCCGGCGGCAGCTTGTCGGTGTCCTCTTTGCCCTTCGCTAGTCATGCGCCCACTGGAGCTGGAGCCGGATCAGCGGGAGTCGGTTCCCAGGCCACATTTACTGTACTGCCCTCAGGCGCTGCTGGAGGAGGAGGAGCTGCTACTCGGACCATAGGCCCCCACCAACAGCTGATAATTCCAGCGGGAGCGAACAGTGCTCCGCCGCAGCACATGGTGATTCCGCTGCACACTTCGGTGAAGGTGACAACGACTGGAGCGGGGGGCAATCCACAGCAGGCAACCGCCGGAGGTGGATCGTTGGTGCCCAACTTTATGCGCAAGCGGGATGCAGAGGGTTCGCCCATCCGAGCGGCCAAGAATCTGGCGCCCACGTTGCTGTCCATGGCGAGCAACACAAGCGGTCCGAGTCCGGGAACCACCTTCAATCTGCAGCCCGTGTCCGTGGCAGTGCCGACATCCAGCGGACTCAACTCTGGGCTCACTGTGGAAGCGCTGGCCAAGAAGGAACGGGAACGGGTTACGACACATGGAGGAGTGCTGCCCACCAGCGGAGGCGGCGCAACAAATGTGGCACCCACAGCAGCTGGCACCGCCGTTTCTTCAACGAGAAATTCGAGGGCTGAGTCGCCGGCTTCCTCGGATGGCTCAACTACTGTATCGGCCAACTCCTCGCCCGGAGTGGATCAACAGCAATTGCAGGACAGGATTGGCGATGCGCCAGCGGCTGCACGCGAAAATGCCACGCATTTTAACCCCATCAATGAGGTAAATATTCAACGACAGACATTAGAGAAATTATTAAATTCTGTGTTCTCCTTGAAGCTGTACTCGACGCACCAATCCCTGCAACAAGGCTTGAGCCACGCCTCTCTGGGCGCTCGTAGCGGCAACAGCGCCTTTGTGGATGTTCAACAACCGACGCCACAGCAGCAACAGCCTCCTCAGCAGCAGCAGCAAGCGGCCCACCTGTTGGTGGGTTCCTCCTCGCAGCAGGCAGGTCCTCGACTGAACGGCACGGGGAATAGCTCCAGCTCCAGCTACGACTGCTCCTCCAGAAAGAAGCCGCGACGATCAACGTGAGTGTTGCCTTAGCATATCTTTCCCAACGAATTTTTAAAGGCAGTTTTTCATAAATTACAGCAATGACAGCCAGCACTCTGCACAAAGTCAGGCATCTCTTTCGCTGCCACCACCTAGTGCTGAACCCACTGCGCCAACTGGTGCTGCCTACATGCAAAAGCACAACAATGGCGGGCTGCTGGTGGCAGCAGCGGCAGCGCCAACGGGCGTGCCGACACCTAATAGTGCTCCAGGCGATGCCAACCATCGGAACAGTACACCGGCCGTGACGGGCAACAAGGAGAATGCCAATCCGGTGGACTTTGTCATCCGTCGTCCACGTAACTGTGCGCTGCTCAATGTGAGTTCTGACTGAAGGCCTTATTTTGGGAGCACTTGGTTAACATTTCTCTCCCTCTTGCAGACATATAAGCCCACCCACAAGTTGGCCAACAATCACTTCCATCGGTATACCGATGTGAAGCCAAGAGAGGAGCGTCGTGCCACCGTGATTGATTTGGCCAATCAACCCAATGTCCAGGGCAAAATCAATGGCTGGAAGATCTATCATTTGAGCTCGCAAATGGAGGACTTGGTAAGGATTAGAACTTTCATACATTTTAAGGAAACTCAACCATGCTTTATGCTTGAAACAGAACGAATCGGAGATGGTCAGCCTGGGCCAGCTGGAAGTTATGCTCAAAGATCTGGAGAAGGACAAGGACAAGCACAGTGAAATGGAGCGTGTAACTGAGTTGTTAAAGGTAAGCTTCTTATAGTAAACCTATTAAGAGTTTAGTAATAATTAAATCATATTTCTAGGGCAATATCCAACGCAGCAAGATCATCACCGAGGGCATTAACGAGGCACAGAGTCAGCTCATGAAGATCTTTGAGCACAAGCCACACGTTTCGGACATAATCAATCGATGCGCCTCCAAGAGGAACTTCAAGAAGCGCGAAAAGATCTAAATGGGGACAGACCACAGAAGTAGCTAAGGATCTAAAATTAAAAGAAATCGGGGAAACTACAAATTTTCTTGATTTCTTCGACTTGATTTTAAATCGTTAGTTATTTTCTTGGCGTTGTGTATATTAACTAGATTAAGACACTTAGATTTTAACTAATTCTTACCTTACACGCTATTGAGATTTGTAAGACAAACCAGAGTTACAAAGAATCCAGCAATATTTTTTCATTTTCCTAGCTTAAAAACATCAAATATACTAAGCACTTGAGTTGTATTTAGTAGAAATTGTTTATTCTTGCATTTTGTGGATATTTGAGGATATTTCTTACATAGGCGGCGGCGGTGGAACGCCGTTAAACATGGGATGCATGGCGGCGGGCCGCGGTGGTCCTGGCATTGGGAATCCTCCGCCGGGTGGTCCCATCGCCCGATGCATGTTCGGCGGTGGCGGCGGCAAAATCTTGGGCTCAAACTTGAAGGCAAACTGCAGGAAGAACTGCTTGGTATCGCGATTCCAGTGCGTCCAGAACTTTCCTTCGCTCTTCTCCACCTCCCGCGATGGCACCTTGAACCCAATGGTCTCATACGGCTCGGAGGCGAACAGCAGGTACTGCCACTTGCGGTCTGGTGGCTCAATCTTTTGCTCGTAGGCGGACATGAAGCGATGCCGGGGTACAATGTTATCCGAAATCTCAGGGTAATCAATTTGGAAGAGCAGCGACTGCTGGCCATTGCTGAGTTCTCGCTGCTTGGTTACCCTATAACCAGGCCGTCCGATCTTCACGAACTTCTTGGGTTCGACGCGTGGCTTTTCCGGCGCCAGCAGTGACGAAGGTGCTTCCTTGGCCTCCTTGGCGGCTCGGCGGGCCAGGTTCTCCTGATGCTTCTTGCCCTGCGTGTGGGCCAGGTAGCTTCCCTCGTTGTTGTGCAGCGTCAGACAGAGCTTGCACTCGTAGGAGCCCAAGTGGTTCTTCATAAAGTAGGGATCCTTGTTTAGATCAATCGTTTCGAGGGCGAGCTGCCGCAGGCGCTCCTTCCGGTCGCGGTTCGTTTCCGACCAGGAGGCCACGCCTCCGCTGCCGGTCTTGCCACCGGCACGGTTCTGGAAGTCCATTCTGCGTTTCTTTTACTTAATTTCAGCTAAAAAAAAAAAACGTTTTCGCGTTGGGATGAAAATTTTAGGAAAGTTTTTGTTGGTGGTGTACAGAATAGGGTTGTCAACACGCCTTAAGGCAGCTAGTGGTGGAAGTGTGCTTAAGAACGATAGTTTACAGTAGAAAGTGTCCGATATTTTATATGAGATATATTAATAAATACAATTTTTAATTAAAAAAAAAAACAAAATTCTGAAATAATGGGAAATTGCCATATCTTGCAGTAAATTAAATATGGTGTATAGTATAGTAAAGAGAATGGTCGAAAAAATATAGAATAATATATTATACAGAACCGTCCGTTTATCTTCTGGATAAATAATATTACCTTGCTAGGGTATAAAAATATGGATATAATTAGTTGAATAAATTTGATGTTCAATAACTTTAATTAAATTTTAATTTATTAAATCAGGTATTTTCAATATTAAACACCCCATTAAAGGTATTCTTCTGGAGTTCTAAGGTATTTTTACCAAGCGAAGTGCGGCCACACTGTGATTTTAGTTGCACATGCTTGAATCTTTTTGTCAATTTTAAAAGCAAAAAAGGCCAGAGCAAAGTGAAAAGTCGAACAATTGATAGTGTCTGTGTATTATTTTAAACAAGAAAAAAAGGATTATAAAGAAAATTATTTCCTAGCTGACGGCAGTATCCAATAATCGACGACGCCCACATTGTGTGTGTGAATCAATTCAATTTTCTTGCAACATTTCCATGGAAAACTGTGCGGAAGGCTAGAATTCTTAACGTGTAGCATCGACAATGGACCCCAAAATGGATAGCAAGAGGCCGGAGCTTGGCATCATGGGTCCACCGCCAACAGTGCCCCATTCCAGCAACAGCAGGCCAGATGCTCATCCGCTGCCAGCGTCGTCGTCGTCGGCAAATGCCAGAACTGCAGCACCGCCCAGGCGGATAATCAAGACGATCAATTTGGATTTTAAGAAGCTCAAGGAAGCTGGGCTGGACAGGAAGCTGGCGGAGGTGTTGAGCAAGCAAAGTCCGGCTGCAAGGGCGGGAATACCACATTCGCCCAGTAGTAGCAGTTCTTCCTCTGTCGCTACGCAGTCTTCGTGTACGTCTGCGGCGACGATGACGGCGGCAGCGGCGTCGGCAGAGGCAGCATCAACCTCATTGCACTCGCAACATCAACAATTGCATCAGCCTGGTAAAAAATCGTTTCTTTTACATATATTTTTTTAAACCATGAGAAACCGTTAGCACGCTTTGGTCTTTGACAAATATTTCGGAGAAGCCTTGAATGGTTGTACGAGTTTGGGACATAGGGCAGCGAAATGTCTCGATGGCGCAGCTGCTTGCGGCGGCGTCAGATAATCAGTAGCAGCGAGTTTAGTTCGATTTTTCTCCCGAGTTCGGATCCCGTTAAGGGAGGGAGTCTTTTTTTCTTCTAGTGTTTTATTTTTACCTTTAACTTTTATAAGATTTCCTAAAATTCTATTACATAATTTGGGTATTAACTGAGTTCATTGAATCGGTTAGATCGGTTTGAGGAAACATGATTTGTATTATATTTAGTACAGTTTATATATTTAGTAGTTTAGTTAGTCTGAGATAAATGTTGTTCTATTGTTATTAAAAGAAGTTCTTCAACGTTTTTTTTAATTTAAAAATAAAGATGTCAGGAATGTTTCAAAAATATTGCTGAACATTCTAGGGTTAAAGGCGTAAGGGAATTTAATTTACCTTGCAAATTCAATGTTTTTTGTTATTTTATTTAAGGGTTAAAAGAGATATTATGGAAGAGTTCTTTATCGGAAATATTTAAATTTTAATAAATAGTTTTTATTAAAGGTAGTAATTTTGTTAATGTTTTTTTTTCTTTTAATAAAGTAAGTGAAAAAAAAGCTTAATAGTTTTTGAGGAAAAAAAAAAAAACTTTACAAGAGTTATGTATTTATAAAATAAGAAATTCGTACACTTCAATTCTCGTGCATAGATGGATTAATTTTTTTTTAAATCTCCACGCCTCAAACTTACTTCAAGTGCCACCTTTGACACAGCGGTTTATATTCTTTCGATGGCGCAGCCTGTAAGTGCGCGCGTCAAGTGAGGTTAAGACCGCTTTTTGGCCCGAGTTCAAATCCCAGTGCCGGCCCAACTCCAATTTTGTTTAGTTGAGCTCTGATGGTGTTTGTGTTGTTTTATGCTTCATTGATATTTATTAAATGTTTGTATTAAGATGGTCAACATGTGTTATTTAATATATTTAAGCTAATTGGTTTTTACATTTAATTACTTTTTGGGTTAAAGACTTCTGTCAGGATTTTATTTTTAGCGCGACATGACATCATTTATCATTTACATTTTTGTATATATATTTTATTATAATTTATGCATTAAAATTATATCATCAGCCTTTATTCTTACACTAATATTTACTTATATATTTTATTGGTTCACAGAATTGCCGCAGACCGCAGTAAAGCGAATTAAGATCTCAGATAGTATGGAAAAAACAGTGCCCATTCTAACGCCGCCGGTGGCCACAACGTCCTCCAACCTGGAGCGTACCATGCACGTCAAGGCTATGTTAAAAAACAGGATTCTTAATAAGTGCATAAACACTTCCACCCAAATACAGCAGCCAAAGCCAATGCCAGCACCCAAGATCCCTCCAACAGCTGCCCAGGGCTCCGCTCCTCGGAGTGGAGGAAGCAGCAATGCAGCTACTGCTGCTCCCACTAGTGGAGCTTTCACCATCCCCAAGGCCGATCTGAGTGTGCGACCAAAACACCCACCATTGCTGCTTAATTTGGTGAATCAATTGCCCAAACACCGGACCATGTGCATGACCACCGATGACATAGAGTTGAGGAACCAGCAGGAGCTGCTTCAGCAAAAGGCTTTTGAAAGGCATCCTCCTCCTCAACAGAAGCAGCCAAAATATCAGCCACAATCTTTGCACATTTCTATGCAGAAATCATCACAAAATACGCCACATATTCCCATACAAAATTCACTACAAAATCAGACACAATCTCCGAAAATTTCTATGCAGAAATCCTCGCAAAACCCACAACATAATCCTATCAAAAATCCGCCCCAGGCTCCAACACCAATTGCTGCAGCAAATGAATTGCTTTTGCCTCCTCCAGAGGCCTCAATAATTTCCCAGAAAAGTCCCTCGCCACCACCCTTGATTGTGCTGGAAAACAAGGTATTGGCTCCTAATGAGAAGATCGACTTGAGTAACTTGCGATTGCCAAGCAATACTAGTATTGTGGCCACTATCGTGAAGACGAAGGCACAACCCCTTGCCCAGACAATCATTAAGGGTGGCAAGGTTATAATGAATGCCAGCAAGTTTAAGGTGCCGCGGGAAAAGCTAGCCGAGATGGCCCAAGAGATACGTAATCAGGCCAAGCAGGTGAAACAGAACACACAACCGGAAGCAGCAGGGGATTCTTCCACTGCAACCACAAAAATACCTACTACTATTCCTAAAGAAATCGATCCAAAACAGCAGGCAAGTTTTACTCAATCCACTGTTGAAGCCACAGATTTAACAAGCCTTACATCGGGAAAACCTAAACCTATGTCTTTAAAAAATACAAAAATGAATACTGCTACAGCATTGGATCAAGAAGAGCTTCCTCAAGATGAAAACACTGAATCCAGCTATATGGACTCTTCTGTAAATACTCCTGAACAAGAAACACCCAAAGTAGTGATAAACACAGAGGCAAGCTTCTTGGACTTGCCCATACACATTTCTACTGACAGAGTACCAAAGGAGTTGAATAAGTCGGCAGATTTTGAACAAGAGAAACCTAAGAAACCCACTTCCACTTCATCACAAGAGATCCCTAAATCATCAGCGACTGCAGAAGCATCATCACCAGTTTCCAAAGTCCAATCAGCTGTGGATTTTATAGCCCAACTAACTGCAGAGCATTCCTTAGATGAAAGCAGCTTCATGGAGCTCTCGCCGGAAGAGCAAAGCTTGAATGCTCTGTTTGGTGGCTCTTTTACTGGAGTGCCGACTCAAAATGCAGAAAAGGAAAAGGAGCCGGCGGAGGAGGTAGGTTCCTTAAAAGTAACAAGATCTTCTCCCAAGAAACTATCAGAGGAGGAGGAACTACCCATTGGTAAGATTATGAAAATGGATGATATGGATATACTGCATGCCACTTTGGATGTCAAAAGCGATAGCACCAACATACTACGCATCAGTCCAAATGCAATTAAGCTAAGGAGCAGCGTGGATCAGTCTGGTATGGAGTTACCAGCGGCAACCTCAACAGAGATTGCAGTTCCGACAACAAACGAGGAAACCCTTGTAGTTGCAACATCAACTGATAAAGGTGACCAAACATCAGGGCCTGATATGTCCCAGAAACCTGTAGCTGAAGAAGCTTCAAAAGGGTCTCTGGAAAACCAGATTAAACCAGTGACTGATTCTGCTAAGGAAGTAAATCCCCCAGCAAAACGACTCCCCCTAAGATCCAAGAAAGCCAAAATTAATTTAGTGCAACGCAATAAAAGGCCTAGCATGCCAAATAAGTTCTTGGATTCAAAGAAAACCAAGCTAGACGGCGTCGTGGAAAGCGGTGAGGAGGCAACAACGGCGATTATGGATCACAGTTTGCTGGAAGAGATTCGTCCAAGTGCTGGCGTCCAAGGAATCGAGGTAATTGTATATTTGAATAATCAAAGGTCAGAAAGCGTAAATCTTAATATAATTAGTGTTAAAAACAATACCAAACAGGTGCCAACTAACGTAGAGCAGGAAGTCAGGGAGTCCGAAGGTGAGCAGCAAGGAGTCAGTCAGTCCAAAGAAGATAAGGAGCAGCAGGGAGTCAGAAAGTCTAAAAATGATGAGGAGCGCCAGGAAGTTCGAGAATCTAAAGATGATGAAGAGGGGCAGGAAGTCAGAAAATCTAAAGCTGATGAGGAAAACCAGGAAGTCCGAGAGTTTAAAGAAGTTGACGAGCACGAAGTCAGAGATTCCAAAGAAGATGAGCTGCAGAGATTCATAGAATCCACAGAAGATGAGCCCAAAAAAGCTTCCAACCCAGCAAAAGATACAAAAACTAAAACCCAAACTGATACCCAAAATTCTGCTAAATCCTCCATAGAACGTGATCTAACCCAGCTCTATCATCCACCTAAAATGCCCAAAATGAAAACCAATAAAAAGAATAATAATCAGGAAGCCCTGGAGCACACACAAACTGCAAAAGCACTATCTATAATCGAGATTCTTTCTCAAGAGCAACCGCCGCCGCAGGGCGATGCTAAGTTGCCATTCCGAAAGGAGTCGCCCACTGAAGTTAATCTGCCGGAATCCACGGGAATACAAAATTTAGTTACCCACCTGACAGCTGAGAGGGTGACACCACAGACCAAGAAAAAGCTATCGACATCTCCCCCCGATTCAGGGGAAACAGCAAAAGGAATGCCACGTAAGAAACGAATGAAAACACGACCTGTTCTCAGCAAAAGAACTTCGGCAAGGAAACAGGAAGAAATTGGTCCAGAGTTTCTACATCCCATTAGTCCGAATGCTGGAGGAGGTCGCATTCCCACCTCTAGCACCAGTGATGATGATGGTACTGTGTTTCTGGGCTTTAATAACAAAGAAGAGAAGCGTTCCAAGACTCCAGTGCGCAGCAAGCGAGTGCGGCAAATGAGGATCAATGAAACCGACATCAGTGACGATGCTACTCCCGACTACGATGAGACTGAGGAAGAGCAGCAGAAGCCAGTGGATAAAGACATTATTAGTAGACGTAAAGATCAGGTGTCTGACTCGGATAGTAGTGATTGTCCCATGGATTTCGGTGATAATCCCACTAACGAGGATACAAGTCTTGATACAACGCTAGTATCAATAGAAGCAGAAAGTTCGAAACAGATAAAGTGGGATGATCTTAAAGGTGCAAGTAAAGAACCAATCTTGGACGCAGCAAATTTACCCGAACAACTAGAAGCTCTCAATGAGCCAGAACAGTCGGAAACTGTGATAAACGAAATAGATTTAACAGTTGATTATAGAAGAAGCAGCAGAAGCAGGAAGAGTTCAAGGAAACCATCCCCCACAGCTAAAAAAATTAATTCAGAAGAGCCCTCTACAAGCAAAGGAGCTTTGAAAATAAGTGAAGCTAAAGAGAAACTACTAACAAAACCTGGATCTGTAGAAGGTTCGACTCCAAAGGCGGGCGTGCAAACCACAGTAGAAAAAGAGTACAACTTGGTATCTAATGAAATACAGAAAGAGCTAAGAGATGTGGAGGAGTCAGTAACATCTACGAAATCCGAAGGAAAGCGTAGATCTCGCTCAAGTAATGCCACTGACTCAAATCAAGCTGAAGACTCTCAAAAAACTGAAAATAACTCTGAACAAAAAGAAGACAAGTCTAAAATTCCTGAAGCACAAAAAGAACCTGTAAATACAAACGAAAAACGAATAACTCGCACCGCCTTAGTTTCTAAAACTGTGATAGAAAAAAAAGAAGAAATTGTTTTAACAAATTCTGAAAATTCAAATGAAAAGCGAGCCTCGAGACGCCAGACCAAATCAAACTCCTCAACTTCTGAAATTACTGAACTTGTTCCAATTTCCAAACCATCGGAACACAATGAAGCCATAAAAACCAGAGCAAGTCGTCAGTCTCGTAGTAGAACACCAGCTCAACCAATTACCAAATCAGACAAAACCGATACAGACACAAATACTCAAAGTGAACTGGAAGAACTTAAAGCTACCGAGGAACCTAGTTCCAGTAAAGATGCAGGTAGTTTTAAGCGCCAGATGCGGAATAGAAAATCAACTGTAGCTCTCGTGGCCAAAGATGAGCTGAACTTGGATAAAGAACTAAAAAATACAGATTCACAAAACCCACAGGAAGTTCAAGCTGCAGAGGAACCGGAACACAGCCTAAATTCAAAGCGTAAGTCTCGCAGTAGAGTAACCAAAATAACAGATTCAGATGTTGGTAAAAAGCAGAAAAACACAACAAGTCAAGTAGGAAGTCAGGAAGAAAATAAAGCTGCAGAGAAACCGAAGACAGCTTTAACTTGCGAAGAAAATAAAGTTTCAAACCCTAAAAATGTTGATGCCACAGAGGATGAGGAAAAGCCTGGCAGTTCCATAAAATCCAAAAGGAAAAGGCAATCCCGAAATACACCAGTTTCCAGACTTGTTGCTGCCGAAGAGATGGAGCCAACAGCATCCTTAGCGGATTCTCAACCCGCAGTGACCGCTGCTGATGATGTAGAGTCTCGCCTTAGTTCAGTTCCACAGGACATAGAAGATGAACCTGCTCCCTCAGCTCCAAAAAGGGGCAGGAAAAGCAGCCTAGCTAAACAGCCACAAAATCCAAGCGAGACTTTGCTAACAGGAGAAGAAGATGACACCGAAACTGCTGGTCCTTCAACATCCAATAGAAAAAGAAAGCGAGATGCCGATACAGAATCAACTGAGGCCTCCAAAAAACCAAAGACTGATCGTTTTGTTCCTCAGGGCTTTGATATACGCCTGCTCCTCATCCGCCAACGGGAGCAGTTAGACAGTGACGAAGTCCTAACAGACGAGGGCAAGGGCCAAGGTCCGTTACAGTGCGGCTTGTGCCTGGCACGCTGCACCGCAAAGGATTGGCAAACCCATCTAGGAGAACATTATGGAGTGGGTTGGCGTGTCGGCGAGACACCAAACGTTACTCGCGCCTGGGTCTTAAAAACTATGAAGCAGTATATTGAGAAAAGCGGCGAAAAGATAACTTGCCGCCTCTGTCAACGACAATTGGGTTCGCACACGGGTATGGTTGTCCATCTGGAGGGCTGTGGCAACAAGAAGCGCGTGGAGTGCGATCTCTGCAAGAGATCCTATTCCAAGCTCTCCTTTCCCGTGCACAGGCAATCCTGCTCGAGCCAGCAGAAGAGAAAAATAGAAACTGGCAGCTCCTTCAATCTCCGCCTGCTTCTCATCCGGAAACGGGAGCAGCTGGACAGCGAAGAGGTTCTAACTGAGGAGGGCAAGGGCAACGGTCCGCTGCAATGCGGCTTGTGCCTGGCACGCACCAACAAAGTAAAGTGGCAAAGCCATTGTGAGGAACACTATGGAATCGGCTGGCTTGTCGGAGAAACACCAAAGGTAGGTTATGAAATTACAAAATAAATTCAAGCCCTAATTATTTGTTTTACCCAGAACGTCACACGCAGCGGAATAATGCTCATGATGAAAGCCTACCTGGAGGAATCCAAAAAGAAGCTAGTATGTCGGCTTTGTGACCATCGACTGGGCTCTGCCTTGGGAATGATGCTGCATGTGGAGAACTGCGGCAATAAGCAGCGTGTCGAGTGCGAAATCTGCCACCGATCATACACCGCACTCACGCTTCCAAGTCATTTTCGGGTCTGCTCGAGGCGTCAGCAGTTAGCAGAGACATCGATGGTTAGGGCTGAGGAGCAGAAGATAGAAGATGCTGGCGAAAAGGTGTTTAGCAATGCAGGACGCGCTAAAAGGAAGTCCACAATCAAGTAAGATGAGAAGAAGAAAAGGATGTTACCACATAAAAAAATATTATATTAAAATGGAAATAAATTATTTTGTATTATATATATTATATTATATATATTTTATTATATATATTTTATTATTTATTAACACTTCCAATATTGTGTTTCTTTACAGGGCTGAAACGAAGCTAAAAAAAATAGGTGAACACACTTCCGGTAAAAACGAGTTCGATGGCAGCGATTCCTCCGATTACGATATGGCAAATGACAAGGAGTCATCCGAGGAATACGATTCCGAGGGAGTTGATTCCAATGAAGACTCCATTAGCGCCGAGCAGGATGGCAGCGATTGCGAGAAGTCTAAGCGCAGTAAAAAACGGACATGTAAAAGACGCCAAGGGAATCTCGGCGAACAAGCAGCAAAGCCTTGTAAGTAGAATAATGTCTATGAGTAGGATTTAATATTAAAAGTCGTTGTATTTTTTATATATTATAGTGTTCTTACGTGAAGAAACTGAAAAATCTAGTTCAACCCATAAATGGAAAGAATTGTGAGTGAAACAAATGAACATTTGTTTGCAAAATTTGTTTAAGGCTCCTTAAATCCTTTTTTTTAGCTTGCAAATCAATTATTCAGAAAGTCCTTTGTATTGCCACTTTAAGCCTGGCTACTCTACGCTGTCTCCGGAAGATGCCCATAGATTGCTGCCCTCCAAAGAGTCAACATCTGTACGCTATGCTTATGGCAAAGCAAGCCAGGACTCGGATTGGCAACGTTTGGCACCTCTTGAAGGTTTCAACAAAGAAGGTAAAGTTTAGTCTAAGAAGAGCCACATTCAAATATTCAACTCTTTATATTTGAATCTTTATTCAGGCGAATATGTGGGTTATCTAGGTGGTCCGATTAGACAGCTGGCCTGGGTGCCGTTGCCCTCAGATACCACAGATCAGTATTTGCTATGCTCCCTCCGATCCAGAATGAAATCCTTTGCACGGCATTCGAAACTAAAGCAAGAAGACGGCCTCTTGATGTTGCTCAAATGTACGGAGGGGTCCTCAAATCAAAAATCTTGGAACGTACGTCCCCAGCTTCATTACGGAATACGCGTGCCCAATGGACCGGTTCATAGCTTCGCCTTCTTGCCCAGCGGTGGCTACGACAAGGCCACAAATCGTTTGGGCCTGTTGGCAGTGGCCCATGCCACCAGTGATGTCCACATCTATGCTTTGCCTCTGGAGCTCAAAGATGAGGAGAAAAATGACGAAAATGTGGTTATACAATTGGAGAATGTGATTACTCTGAGTTTGGATGTGGATCAGCCGTCTGATGAAGATCAGTGCACAAAGATCTGTTGGTCGGAGGTAAGAGATGGAAGTTTTTGAAATAAGATAAATGAAATGAAATTTTAATTATTTTCTCAGGCTTCCGGACACAATTTCTTGGCCACCGGCTATGCAAGTGGTCATATAGCCTTCTGGGACATTGGCGATAAGGAGAGCATTAATTGCTTCAGGCGGAATAAAGAAGAAGTCTATACTTTTGTGCCTTCAAATACCCTATATTTGGGGGAGCGGAATATCCAATGTAAGCTGCCACAGTAATAGCTTTAGTTATTCCTTATTTTATTTACTTTATTTCGATTCTTTCCAGTTATGGAACTGCATTACGATTTGAACGGAACACGTTGGCTAGCGGTTGGCACTTTAGTGCGTAAATTTCTGGTCTACGATATTTTGAACTTGTCGCAACCTACGACACTGATGCAAAGCACCTGGAACAATATATATTTAGCCACATTTACTTGGTCCCCTGTTAGCGAGGCGATAGTCCTGAGCAGTACCCGTAAGCTCATTAGATTATTTCCTATTAAAACAGCTTTTAATTATAATTGTTTATATTCTCTAACAGACTACAACTCGCGCGCTATATTGCTCAATCCTGCGAGCATTGAATTCGATTACCGAACCCTGGACAGCACCTTGACAGCGAGTCGTTCCATGCACACGAATTGCCAGCAGAATTACATGGTGTTGGTAACTGACATTGGCGACTTGGCCTTCCTCGATGCCAAGGCCATTACGCGTGGGGTTCATCTGTCCAAGACGATGATCAACTACCGGGCTGTATCTACCACTAAATTGCAACATTTGGGCGATGGGAAGCCGAATCAAAAGGATGTAATCAGCGCAGATGAATTCCATAGTGACTATGGTGTGCAGATTAATCCTCTGGTCGAAGCGCATCCGCAATCTGCCCGAAACTGCCCATACCTGGGGGAGAAGCGTCTCCCCAGCAATCCTCACTCTCTGGCCCTAACCCGAAACAACTGCGTTCGCTGCAATTGGAACTCCTCGGCAAACTCGTGGGTGGCCATGGGCGCAGAACATGGCCTGCTGCGCATCCTCAACTTTGAGCGAAATAAATTCTTCTAAAGAATTAAATCTGGCATCTGAACAAGCACCATCTGAGATTATAAAATATTTTTTTACTTCCTAATCCATAGTAATAGTAATTATAGAAAACGGACTGGCTGAGGGAGAGTTAAGCTATGTATTTCGTTACTTTTAATTTATTTTTTTAGCTGTTGGAAGATTACATACATTATAAATTTTTTATATGAAGTTATTGTTGTAAAATAAAATATACCTTTATTATATAATTAAAAAATCGTATATAAAAGAAATTATGCTCTTCAAGTTTACTTAACAAGTAAAAAACAACATGAAAACTTTGGTGGGAAATATGGGATTATATATAAAATAAAAACACAAGAAACGGACTTTAACCCATCACATTTTAAAGTTTTTTTTTACTTAAATAATCCCTGGTGTTTTTCTGAAATCTGAGAAGAGCAGCCTTTTTGGGAGAACTTAAATCATAGTAAGCTCTGTTCCTTTAGGCTAGTCAGACTTCTATCTCCGCTTTGAGATATACGATTCCAAATCGAAATCTATCCAAGACGTCCAAAATGAATCCCAGCAGTGAGTCAAAGGATACCGCTTCAGAAGCTGATTTCGCCGAAATAGAAAAATTGCGGAAAAGAATGGTGGCTTTGATGCAGCGTATGGATCGTGTGCTGATTCCCTTGAAGGCCATGCAAAACGGCATAATGCCCGGCGAGCCAGATTATCCTAAATTGAACGATGTATCGGAGGACACTGATTTTGACGAGGAGCTGGCAATAAAATACGATGAGCCACAGTATACAGAGCCAAAAGAACACTAATATCCTGAGACCCTGAGACCCGAGCAGCCACAACATTATTATCATAAAGAGCTCCACATTCCAAGGGATACTTTAATCGACTAGGAACTGACCATGATGGGCAACTAAATCAACCTGCACGGCACTTTTTCCGACGAGGAAATTTAAAAAAATCATCCTGCAAGGTCCACTAATATCTACAAATCCCCATGAATAACAAAGTTGGTTACATATTAAATATATATATTTATTTTTCGCGTTATCAATAGTTGTGTTATTTCATAAAAACTATGTTTATGCAAATTTAACAATGATAGACGGGGACTTTTTATAGCTTTCAGCTGTGAGCTGTGATTATTCAAATGTCGAAATATCGAAATATCGTTTTGAAAATTATTAAAATTATATGGTTTTTATTTCGGGTTTTATTTAATAAAATATTAACACTTCCCTAACGCTGTATGGGCGTAAATAAATAAATTTGCAAGGGGCTTACAACTTATATGAGCTATATGCTAAGTGAATGCTTCAGATTGGGACACAAACAGCTAGATATATATATATATATAGTTAATATACATAGACATACATATACATGGTACAAATATATATATTACGAATTATCGAACAAATGCATGCAAACACGTTTAAAAAAAACCCGAAAAGAAATGCAAAATTGCCAGTTAAATGTCGTAAAAACCGAATTCGTTGATTGAATGTGAAGTAACACTAAATAAGCATACATATACATATAGGCATTATGATATATATGTTTTTCTTACATTGCTGTTGTCTTTTCTATGGCTGCAAAAGCAGGCCGTTAACAGTGGCTTAACATTTCTCGCGGCTTTTCTGCAGTTGACCTTCAGTCTTCGCTCTTAGCTATAGTTTGCTGCAATTCTCCCGATCTCTTGACCTCCCGCTCTATGCCTAACCAAAACTCTATGCGAACATTAAATTCTATAAACAAATTCATCCATCCATTGCAAAGGGACCTTGCACTTAACGCGAACCTAAATCAAACGTAAATTAACGGCAAGTTAACAGTGATTTCCGGTTTGTCTCTCAGCTTCCGGTCTGCGATTTGCGCTCATCAAGCGATTTACTGCTTCTCCGTTCCGTTGACGGGAGTGGGAGCCGGGATGGACCTGTTGCCGGCCAGCTCCTGCTGGATCTCGTTCAGACTCTTGCCCTTCGTCTCTGGCACGGCAAAGAAGACAAAGAACACGCCCAGAACCGTCAGTCCGGCAAAGAGCCAGAAGGTGCCGCCAATACCAAGGCCCGCGTTTAAGTCATCAAACGTCTTGGTCACCACGAAGGCCAGCAGCCAGTTGGAGGTACCGGCCAGCGAACCGGCGAATCCCTTGATGTCAGTGGCAAACAGCTCGCCCATCATCAGCCATGGCACCGGTCCATAGCCCATCGAGAACATGATGATGAAGATGCACAGAGCAGCCACCGGCAGCCAGCCCAGGCTTTCCACCTGTGCCTCGTCCTGGCCTTGAAGGTAGAAGTAAACTCCGATGGCGGTGGTAGCAACGGCCATGGCAATGCCCGAGGCCAATAGGAGGATGCGACGGCCCAGCTTGTCCACCACCACGGTGGAGACAAAGGTGGCCACCACCTGCATGATGCCGATCAGAATGGTTGCCCACCTGGGTCCAATGCCAGTGTTGGCTTCCTGTAAGGGTAAAGGTTTTCAATTAAATATTTTCGTATTTTCTTTTAATTCGCAGGCTTTCCTGGACTCTAACCCACCTTGAAGATCCTTGACGAGTAGAAAATAACAGCGTTGATGCCGCACACCTGCTGGAAGAACATCAGACCCAGACTGATGGCCAGAGCCTTGCGGGTGACGGGTCGGTTCAGGGCAGACCACACATTGACCTTGTTCTCGCGGATTTCCCTATCAGTTTCACGCAGCTCCGCCAGCTCCGGCTCGTAGTCGTACTCCTTGCCACGCAGCCACTGGATGGACTTAATGGCACCCTCCGACCGATCTTTGGCAACCTGTCAAAGAAGGATTTCAGAAAGTTAGACATGCTTGTCGATTGTTTATCATTTTATCGTCCGCTTTTGATGGCAAACTCGTGGTGCTTTTCGTATCTTTTAGGTTTTGGTTTTACCGAAAGGTCTTTTGATTGACTTGACGATTATATCTACTCAAGATATACTTTACTTTAATTCAAAGGCGTCATTGAATGGAATTGTATATGTATATTATATATATATCGTGTAGATAATTTTTTAGTTAGGAATTTTTATCGAAAAGGAATTTTTGATTGACTTTCAGATTATATCTACTCAAGATACTACTACTTTACTCTAATTTAAAGGCGCCATTGAATTATATAAATAATAAAATCCTAATAATCTAATATTTTAATATTTAAAAAAACACAAACTCACCAAATAAGTGGGCGATTCCGGCATGAAGAAAAAGATGACTCCAAAGACGAGGGGCAGAATACCGCAGATGACGCTCACCCAGAAGATGTCCAGGCCAGCGCCAATGGCGTAAACAAATAAAATACCAATGGTGATCATCAATTGGAAGAAGCTGCCCAGCGTTCCACGAATATCCTTTTGGGCAATCTCACCGGTGTACATGGGAGCGGTCACACAGAAGGCACCGCCAGCGATACCGAGAATGAAGCGGGAGGCATACATCATGCCAACGTTGGCGGCCCAGATGAGCATCGCCCAGCCGACGATGAAGGGCAGGACCAGGAACAGCATGGTCCACTTGCGGCCAATCAAGTTGATGAGGAAACCAATGGGAATGCACACGCAGGCGGCACCCAGTGTCATGGCCGAGCCCACCCACGAGAACTGGGTGTCGCTCACCAGGAAATCATAGCCACTGTGGTTATCCACGATTTCCGTTTGGGCCGGCGAGGTCCAGCCCAAGAGGGTGCCGCAGGCAAAAGCGCCACCAGCTGCTGCAAGGGCGGCCACATATTGTGGCAGTTTCTTGGAGTTGTTCTCCGTGGATGTGTGCACCATGTTGCCGAGAAGATTCTCCTGATCCTGCAAAGAAAATAGAGAATTGGTAAGTAATTTTTAATAGAATTTAAAGATGCCTTAAAGCTGAAATGTCTTCTATATTCTGGCAAGAATTTAACTTTAATTTAGTGGCCAAGTATCCTTGCTGATGATCGTTCTTAGTTACCTTTCACAATTCTAAAGAGATCGTTTTTAGGGTAGATCGTTCTACTGTGACCAACTAATTGGGACTGAGGGCCAGTCCAGCAGCTACCTGTGAGTATTATCAAGCCTTGGGCTCCGATAAGAACCCCCCCGGCACAGTGATTAGGACATTTATTGGCGGACCGATAGGGGCATTCCATTGATTGGCCGTGCACCCATATTTATTGCACTCTCCCGGTAAAAAAAACAACTAAATAAAATTGGGCTATGCTCTCCTCATTCCGATTGTGAGCTGAAGTGCTTCATTATTTCATTACGCCGGTCACATAAACAGAAGTCGCCCCCGAAATTCACGCACACTCGCTGCCCCGATATCATTCATACGCCGAGTGGTCCGCAAATTATTATGATTTCGGGCAGGAAAAGCCTTTAAGATCTTAATATTGACTTAATATTTTAAGACAGAGATGCCGCGTGATCATGAAACTAAGAACTTGGGGCATTCCTATTATCAAATTGAGAGGTAAAGTAGTATAATTATTAAGTTCATGTGTTCCCACTTGACAAATTTTAATACACCGGTATGTATACATAAGTATCCGATAGAGTTTAAACGATAAGGGGAGATTAACTGGATGGAAATTACCAAATTAGGTAAATAAAACTTAATATATGGGTTGAAAACAGGATATTCTGCTATAATTTGTATTATTTTTAGGAAATCAGAGTAAATGGAGATAGAAAGGAACAGTTTAAACGCTAAAGGATTTGATTATGACCGATAAGTATTATTTATTTAAAGCCATTATATATATTTGACTTTTAAGATTAAGATTTAAGATTTTAAGCTCTTGCGTAAAAAAGATTATCTTATCTTTCAGATCATTTTGTTTAACTAGAAGGGAACCTAACTTCCGGTAGCCGAAAATGGTATACCTTTAAAATTTGCAATTGGATGAGGGGACTGAATTTGAAATCGATCATAAGTAAGCCAAAAATACATTAATTTTAATTTAGAAAGGATTTTTGTGTTGGGTTTTAATAGATAATAATAATAAAAAAAGCTAAATTGTTTCTTTTTTGGGACATGATCATGAATACATATGGTTTATAGGGTCAGAAATAACACCTTCTAACTATAATATAATTTCCTATAATATATATGTATAAAAAAAACATATATATCCCTAAAATAACCCTCAAATGTTTGCCATTCCATTCTATTTGTAGGCGT